CTAACCTTGATGTGGGCTGATGCCTCCATTAGCCTCGAACATCAGTGGCTGAGATAAACGAAGAGGAGGCGCTATCGACCGAACTAAATCCTCGAACCCCAATCCAATGCCGGCTCGACGCCTCCACTGGAGGGCAGGTGGTTGATCTTGGCGCTATCCACGATACGAAAAATGCTGTCAGCTGGCCTTTCTCCGCGAACTAGAGCTGGGAATAGAGGTCATTGCCACCAAAGCAAGAAGCATCCGCTTTGCTCCAGAATCTCAGTTAGACCAGACCGGGCGGCGAGGCCACCCTAGACCAGGTACCCGGTAGCTGGAAGTGGGCCAGCTGTAACGGGTCTCTCCCAAAGTCTGGGACACTTCTGGTGCCGTTGCTCTTGCTCTCCCCGAGGCTGATGGCAAGGGCGATGCAGGATCCCAAACGACATGCCTTGCTTGCAGGGCTGGCCCCTGGTCCGGTCCAGGTTCTCTCCGCGCCAACCACTTCCTTGGCTCGATAACGGCTCAGTTGTCTATAAAACAAACCCCGTCCCCCTCGAATTGATACACTCACTCATCCAGATCAACAGTACAAACATTCGCTAACACTAATTTGCGCTACATTCGTTGCACAGCCTCCTCACTTACACTCTTTCTAATAAAGATACTTAATCAATCAGCATGCGCTCGTTCACTATCGCCGCCGCCGCCGCCCTCATCTCCTCAGCCTATGCTTCACCATGGGCCATGGGTGGTCTCTGGGGAGGAAAATCCGACCCAACCAAGTGTTTGAACCAAGCTACTGCTCAGTATCTGGTTGACGGTTTCGGCAAGCTCATCTCCGCCTACACCGATGCTGACGCCCAGAAGCTGTTGGCCGACAACCTCGTCGACTACTCTGACTCCATCAACTCCCTCATCGGCCAGCCAGTTGGCGGGCCTACCTTCCCAAGCAAGGCAGCTTTCATGGCGGGGCAGGGTTCTCAGCCCCCGGTTCCTTTCCAACTTCTTGCCCTCGAGGCCTTCAACTGTGACACCATCTCCTTCCGATGGCTTGCCGGTCTCCAACCTCAGCCAGTGAAGGGTATCACGGTCCTGAAAGCCTCCAACAGCCAAGGCCAAAAGGACACATGGCAGATCAGCACCATCTACACCGAATTCAATAGCATTGCTTGGTTGGAGGATATTGGTGGCAACGTGACCTACCCCAGCCACTAAATCACTGGGGCCTCATTTTTGATACCCTTTTGACATTTGGTTAGGGGCATAGCGATGGCGCCGGGAAACGATACATGCATGGGACTTTTCCACTATTGAGACTTTCGGCGGTCTGGCAGAAAAGTCATGGGTGGTACGACAGGAGATCCCGCGCATTGGATCTTGTGGAACGTTACGCAGCAGCGGCTTGACCTTTGACCCTCGGCCCGCGAGAAATTGGAATTTTAATGGCTTTCACTACATAGCATCAATTCAAAATGTTAGTTATGTACAAGGCGCTCCATACGTCCGAGATTGATGTTTTTTCCCTCTAACGTTTCGTCGTTGACGGCGACCGGATATCGGCTGGAAGCCTATCTCGCTTATGACTCGAGCTTTCCGACTTCCGGAGAAAGCGTAGTGACTTGTACGAGATACTGAGTACCGGTATACGACGAGGAGGTTTTTTGCCCCCCTTGCAACGCACATCAAACGCTACGTCCGACATCGCCTGAAATATCCCGCTTTCGGCTTCATTAGAGCGTTGCAGTATGCGAATGAGAGTGAGACTTGATGCCCGCGACAAGCTCCTTCTATCCCTTCTCTCCTCGCAGGCGGATTAAATAAACCTCTTCTTTGGGGCGACTTACCTAGTGGGATTCTTGTGGGTTCTCCCGCCCAGGGATCTGCGAGATAGACATTGCTATGGGTCCAAGAAGCTCGTGGGCGAATGCCCGTAGCCTTGAGACCGAAATCCCAACTAGAGCATCCAATCTTCTCTCTGGCGACTCATGCATCATGCGCAATAACGCCCCGACCCGCCCGCGATTCATTTTGTACTTGCGAAATCTGAAACCGCAACCGTCTCGACCTACCTCGTACCGTTCCAGTGGCTAGCAGTAAAGGGTTGCTGGCTGAAATTGGCGGGGGCCAAGATTGCATCCCCGGATTTCCTTTCGCCTTTGCCGGGCCAGGAACCATGAACCATGACAATGGCTGGTGGGCTCAGCGGTCCACCCCTGTCCGCCAAAGCTTGATGCTTCTTGAACCGTGGCCGGCGGTGGCCCACCGGGAAAGCGTGCTAGACGAGAGCAATTTCGACTGGTCTTTTAGTGGCCCTCCGTTGATATAACGTAGCGCAACGACGGACTGCTTCGCACGAGGTTGGAGTTTTTTAACTTTATTTCGCTTTCTTCTCATACCTAAGTAAGTATAGGGATACTCCACGACTCAACTTGTTGTGCACGGTCTCGATCGGGAAAAGCCGTACGATGAAGGAGGTCATCAATCACTCATAACCAAGTAGGTACCGAGTACCGATGACATTCTACCAAATTGCTCCTGTTGCTCTGCCTTAGAACTATCCACATCGTTTACGGTTGCTTTGTGGAAGGGCGGGAAATGACAGATGCAATCCGGATTGTTGGGCGTTTGACTCCTTTTTCTTCTCTACAACAAGCTCAAAGTCTAAACCTTGGTCTCAATCTTTGATAAGCTGGCGGGTCAGGACTCGGAAGGGAAATGCAGAGCGTTGAAGATCCTGCACCTGGCCACCCCCTGAGCCCTGACATCCAGTTGCCTGGCTCGGCTCTCCAAAACTGGAAGAGGCACACGACACTTGTCTAATAGCAAGACAATCACTCAGATGAAATGCGAAAGGACAGGTGGGTCACAATTTCAACTGTGTAGGACTATTCTCCTCCAGCTACACATACGACCAACCATTTCGGAAAACACTTCCAGAGGCCGCAGGATGGAGTTTCGGCTTATTTTCCTGCTGTTGGGGCTACTGCTGGTCGCCAGATGCCTCCACCAGTGTCGTTGGTTAGATGATTTCGAATTAAGACCTGCCGTCACAGCAGCAAAGGACCCAGATCTCTGTAAGTGCATACCCTGCTGAAAGACAAGGGAGAAATCAGGTAAGTCTCCAAGAGCCTCTCTTCCCGCCCTCCCGAGGTTCCTTGTCGTTTGCTATCTTGATCCTCCAAGAACGAGTTGGGAAGAGTGGGATCTCTGCTCTTTTGTACCTCGTATGGGAGGCTCTGCTCTTCATTTCATGTTCGTTCCTAGCACCGAGTATTTGACGAGCGTTCTCTGTTGGATGATGCGGGTGGACTCCTTCCGTGGGCATAGCGAGAGCTCATGCTCCATCCTCTCTCCACTACAACCAGCCCTCAACATTAAGGAGCAAAAGCGCGATTTGAGTAAGACAGCAGCTGCCGCCGCTGCAGGAGCAGAAGTCAGAGGAGGATTTGCCGTCCTGTGGAGACGGCCCTTTCGTCCTTCCTCCAGGATCCTCTATTTGTGAATATTCCCCGCCCCTGCGCCCAAACAACGCAACTCCGTTCGATCTGTGTTGGCACCTTGACCATCTTCCAGAGTCAAGCGCGTTCTCTCCCTTTCCCGTGATCTCTGATCTTGTCTTCCCGGGATGCGCTCGTGCTCATGCAAACTCTCTCTGTTGCACCGCATAGACCCAAATCCGAGTCATCTTCCTCAAATGCCATTGACGAATGGAAGTTGACTAGTCCTGCAGTTTGAGCACATAGCACGGGTGGATGGGGTCGCACCAAGTCAACAGACCACTTGCCTACTACTTTCTCCCTTCAAAATCACCAAGCGCGGACCTCATAGCGGACCGAGCACGCCAAAAGGACGAGACAACCGTTCGCCTATTTTGGAGACCTTTCCGATTCAAAGGCGAGGATGCCTAGTAGCGCACGAATGCTGGGGTATAACAACAGACATGCTATGCAAGGGGGAACAAGGTTGCTACGCGGTCTCGAGCGCTCTCCGTGTTTCCTCAGGTTATCTCCGGACCTTGGAATGCTCAACCAAGGCAAGCCTGAAGTTAGGCTCGGTGTCTGATGCAATGCGTACGGCTGGTCGTGCAACAAGGGTTGAAGAGTCGAGATGATCTATTGGACATATCAGGAGACATAAGAGATGGGAAGTATGCACGACGCTCGTTGTCTTGCTCCTGTTGCATGGTCGCTCATCTCTGCAACAGTGCAGCTTTTCTAGTCGCAGGGGTCGTGAAAGCAGCCGAGGCCTGAGAAAATGCCCTTCAAGTGGCTACAGAGGTTGAATATGCGCACTCCCTACGGGTCGGATGAGGTAGGAAAAGGCCAGATTGCTCCATTTGGTCGGTGGCCTGTTGAAATTTCTTGGTCGGGTCTCCGAGCAAGTTGTCAGGATTTGCCAGAGCTTTCTGTAAATGCTAGAGAAAACGGCTCGGAACAAAATGGTTTTCATTGCCCCCATCCCAAGTATCGTTATCCTAATCGGTATTGAATACGTACAGTCGTTGCTGCTCATAACCCGTCTACAATAAATGTTGCGAAGGCAGTTCGGTTTCACGGCCCGTTGTTTCGTTTCGCCTCGCGCAGCCCTCTGGCACTCGCTGAGAACATCGCCGTCTCGTGATAACTCATCTACCATGCCGTGTGCCCAAGAATCATCCATAAACCACTCGGTCATTCCAGTAATCATGGCCCATACATATCATGAGAAGGGTCTCATGTCGTCACCTACTCATTCAGCCGTAATCGTCACACATGAAATAAGATGCCAGACGCTCTTCGATTCATTTCCACCCACGAGGGCGTGTCCTCTGTCTCATGCGAAGGATAACTCGACCAGCGAACTCTCAAATGCTTGCACTGTCAAATGTCCAGTCGGAAGCATCATATACCTATCGTTAGTAGGAAAAATGAACGAAAAGTCTTCTGTACTTCGAGGGAGAATGTGGAAATAGAGGGGCGTGCCCACTTCCTCGGTGCCAACGTCCTTGTTAAGATGGATATTGGAAATAACACATCTCATCAATGCACCTGCTTGGACCCGAGAAGCCGCATAACCTGCCTCCCAAGGACGGCAAACTTTACTTTCTTCTTTTGCGCCTCTTTCCACCGCTCTGATGTCATTTTGTTAGCGCGTTTCTTGTTGCCCATTGATGGTGATGCTGGAGGCGTGGTTGTGTTCCGTGGCGGTGCCGACAACAAGCCATCCGGCTTTATGCTTTCAACCATTTGAGTAGTCTTTCGCTCTGATGTCTCAGTCCGAGGTGTCGTTTTAGACAGGCTGTGAGAGAGCAACTTAATGCTGGGCTTTTTCCGCAGCCTCGATGAGAGTCTTGTCAGACTGCTCTCCTCTTTCAACGACAGCGTGGATCTCGGACTGTAAGGCCGCTGCTGGTGTTGTCTAGACACTCGAGACGCTTTACATACCTCGCGATCTTGCACTTTGGAAATACTGCCCCTGCTTTCTTTTCGTGGAGTCAAATTGCCTTTCTTGCGTATGTTGGCCTCCGAGATGAAGCGTTCGGCGGCACGAAGATCCGTAAAGCTTTTTTTAATACGCGTGAGTGGTGAATTATGGTGTCTGGAGCTGTCGTCATCATCCCAGTCGATGTAGGAGATTTCGTGATGTTCTTGGGAACCTTGAGGTAAATGTATCGCTGTAACACCAAAATCGGGATTTGGCAAAGGTTGGGGTGGGACAAATTTGGAACCACTCAAGAGATTTGTGGCCTGGGGCACCCGACCGAGCTGGGTGTTTTGATATAGAAGAGAATTGGGTAGCGGGGGGGTGATGCTGCGAATGCCAGAACCGGTATTTGCCTCGCCCGTCCTCTTGTGAGGTACCATGACATCGTGAGAATTATCCGCTAGCAAACTTTCAAAGTAATCCTTGGAAGAGCCGACAGCTGGGCAAGGAGAGCTTTCAGATATAGCAAAGGATGAATCAGAACGGTGTGAGTTCGTCAGAGATGGAACCGGCGTGACTGGACTTGTTGGGGGCGTCAATAGAGTCTCCTGTTCTAGAGAGATTCCTCCAAGCTGTGCAGTCAATTGATGCAGCAGCTCTCGCTGTGTTCTCGGTGTCGAGTCTGTGTTCCTTTCGTGACACCCGAGCGGTGGCTCTGGGGATGATAATCGGCACTCAACCTTGATGGTGTCTGATGGGGTCCGATTCAGTTGTGGTGCTGGTGGAAGTAGACTTGGAGGACGATGACAAGACTGTTCAGAGAGCCGATCACCATATTCAATCAGGGAAGAAATGGAACTGCGTTCAGTACCTCTCCTGGTGCAAATATTGTCGTCATCTGTGTGGGCGTGGATGAATGGCGGCTGGGGCGGTCTTGGGGACCACTGCGCCAACATCTCCTCGGGGTATAATGATGCAGATGGCACACGGTGTAGGAGAAGCGAATTGAAAGGACCAGGAACCGAGAAGTCGTAGAGGTCCGAAAACAAGGGTTGTTCTCGAGAGTCGCCCTTTCCACATGTGTAATGTAGATTGATATGGGGTTCGCCTTTAACCAACGGTCTGGACATGTTCCAGAATTCTTTGTGGTATATAATCGTAGGTGTCGGGCATTCCTTTCCAAGATCCAAGCTGTCACAAGTGAAGAAGAACGTAGATCAAGGATTCGCTCTCTCTTTGAAAGAAAATGTAGAAGGAGTAGGTTCAATGACGACGGCAATCCGGATTGGATTTAGTGAGCGAACTTATAGACTTTGTACTTAGAAATTGAAGCGGTATCACAAGAGAGGATCCTGGCTGAGCTGGTTTTTGTATCGGCATAAAGAGGCTCAAGCTGCAGTTTGAACAAAACGCAGCCCTGAACGTGCAGGCTGCCACGACGCTATGCAAGCTATCGAGATCAGGACCTACCGGGTTCAGGCACAGTTGGTCCGAGTAGAAAGAGTGGAACCTCGACGGCGGGTAGGAGAAAGGCGGACTTTTTTGGCAATACCCTGCCCAGAAGGATATCCAGACCTTTGGCAGCAGCACGGATTGTGGCCCTGCCTCGATCACAGGTACATGTGGAAGCGGAAAGATAGACCTGGAGCAACGATGAACAGACACTCCTTTAGAAATCGTCCGAGGGGTTGGCCAAAGCTCTGCTCATGCGTCCTGGGAAGGTGGCCCCTCCAAATGCACAGCTGCGGCAGGGTTAAGAAGGGGGAAAATCTTGGTTTTGCAAGACGGTATAAGATAACTTGCTTTCGATCGCATCTGTTCGACCCTGGTGGGCAAACCACCTCTCAGAATGGATCACTTGGAAACTCAAATGTCAATGTTTGTGCCATCAATAACAGACCTGAGGATGGGGGAGTAGAGGGGCCGGGTTAGCCCAAGGGGTGACAGCCTCATAAGTCTAGACACGCATACCGTTCCGCATCGTCGGATGCAATACTCATCGACTCCACCAAGTGACATTCCCCTCAGCTGGACAGCACAGCGGGGTCTGCTAAATATGTGAGCTCGGGAGCGTTGGAAAGGAGGAGTTGGAAACGCAGTGTTTGCTTCTCAACAGCATTCCAAACCGCTTACGAGAATTCTAGGGACCGTAAGACGGGACGCCAATGTTTTGTTTACCAACAGCAAACATGGTGGAAAACCGATCAATCGACACCAACCAATATGACCGACCTTGTGAATGGCAGAATTGCCACCATCTTTCCCTTCAGGGATGTGGCAGCGCACTCTTTTGCTGCAAATCTCAATTTCACGAGGGACCGATGAGTCGCAAGAATAGTTTGTACGGTCGAGTTTGACACTGACGTTGGCATTCAAACAGTGAAGGTTGACGAGGAGTAGACCCTGCATCAACTCAGGAGATCGCTGGACGACAACCATGTGGCGCCAGTGGGTGCCCTACGCACACAGTTCGGGAATCCATTTTCTTCCGATCCGCTCAGCTTCGCTGTGCATTGAAGCAGCCCTGGTCGAGCTGGAGGACGGGTGATCGACGGACGGACAGTGGGCACTCAGCCTCATTGGCGACTAATGTCCGGGCAGAAAAGCGTAACAACTTAGATACCTCCTTCGGGGCTTTCGCTTCTAGGCGGACATCCAGGGAGGGATTCGAGGCTCTCTTTCGGATGTGTTAGTAGCGTGGGTGATTCGTTCAGAGCCATGGGATTTTGAGCCAATCCGCTTCGCAAGGCAGCAGTTGACAGGTCAAGTAGACCATTCATTTATCCCCTGGTTCCTGGATGACTCGGACTGAGAAGGATGGTGGGGCAGAGAGCGAGGTCTTCTAGTCCATCCAGCATTGTTACCCAGCTCTCGATCTTCCTCTCTTTTCCTCTGCGGACCTTGCTCTCTGAAGCTCGACACCGGAGGAGATCGGTTGGAAGATGGGCGCTGGCGGGCGACGAGGGCGGTGACCGGAGACGATGCAGATGAAACTGTGGCTCGGGGGAGCAAGCGCAGGGGATGGAGCGACCAGGTGGCTTTGGCTTGTTCTGGCGGTGCATGGGATGACGATGCTGCCAGCTCATCGCTCCACATCTGGGCCCGATGCTTTTTGCGAGCTTGCGCCCAGCCTCTCCAATATCGCACCACGGCCTCACTTTACCGATTATCTCACAAACACGAGGAACTGGCTGCCCGAGCAAGGAAAATACGGGGATCATGGCAAACACGTTGTCGGCGATTATTCCAGGCTGCTCTTCAAGCGTCCCGTCCAGAAATCTGGTCCTGGACTGCTGGTAGCAATCTGCCCTCCGTGTTTGTTCTCCGGTCGTTCGCAATTGACATCTTGTGACTTGCTAGATGCATGCCATACCGGAATAAATATCCTCAGCTCCAAATCTGATTGCACAATTGGGCCATATCAGCAGCAGCAGCTTCCAATACCATCGAGCTCCGAGAAAGTCGCTCGTGCGAAGTCGGGAGCTGAGGTGTTACTGACTGCGCTCATAGCTGCGCCTGTTGCGTGTGGTCGCACCCACCACATGGTGATCCGATATCTTCAACACCTACACAATCAAAACAAAAATTCGCTAGTTAACGAAACTCACGGGGCGACACTTTTGATGTCTGTAACGAGTGCTAAATTGTCTCAATTCCCTCACCGATTCCGAGACGCGACTTCGCCGCACTTGTGGACGCGCGATTCTGCACTGGAAGCTGAAGGCCCAACCTCCATGATTTCAGAAATTGACCAGCCACCAACACCACCACGCGCTCTTCTTCCACCTCACCACGTCAATGTCTCTGTCACTGTTACTGTTCAGTCCCTCTCACATCTTACCTGGCTCCAATCCTGTTTAGTCCTTTCCGTACCACCCCCAGAACCTTTACCACCGGCTTCGTCACCCTTGCGCTTCGGGCGCAGTCCCCAAATTGTCCCAAGATCCCTCCCTCGTCCAGCAACCAGCGGTCGACGTGTCGCTCCCCGATCAACCGCCCTTTGACGACCTTTACGAGTACTACGACCCGGAACGAGATCCCTTACCCCAACGCCAGCAACAAATAACCACTCCGGTCTCGCGAAGACGTCCTCAATCCTCCCAATCTAGCGGTGCTCGATCTCTCCGGAGAACCCCAAGATTACAGGAGCGGCGGGCGACAACACGGTCTCCTCTACGTGCGAGAAGGTCACATCCTCTCTCTGCTACACCGCCAGTCCGCTTCGACGAGTCCGGTTCTACCACCCCTAGTCTTTTCCAGCGACTGCTCTCGGACGACACCTATCGACCTCGCAGGCCACTTCACATCTCTCGACATACCCACGACGCCATCCTCTTTGCCTTGGAAGCCATCAGAAGAGGTGATGGTGTTAATGCGCAGCCACTAACTGCTGATCCACTCGAAGAAGAGGCTCGAATGTCAGATTTGGTAAGGGGCACTGCGCCCGGTACCGTAGCTGCGTCGAGTCGTACTCAGAATGGCGGAGGAACTCGTGCAACCGCCGCAGCTGGCACTGGCCCGACTCCCGCCGAACCTCCACGATATCGTACTCCTACAGATGTCATGCGAGACCGGCGGGCTCGGGAAGCTCGTAGAGCGGAAGAAGCTGCGGCCAGACTGCGTCAAGAGGAGGAAGCCAGGAGATTACAGGAAGAACAAATTGTTGGCGTTGGGGAGGATACTGCACGAAGAACGGCCGCCAGACCCGGTGCTCCAGCCCCCCAAACTTACAATATAGGTGGACCAATCTCTCAACCTGTCGGCTCGACGACGCGGCGGCAAGAGAGCATACCACCCACCCAACCCAGTTCCTCGAGAACGACCGGCCGGGCTCCTGAGCCTGCTGGAAGAGATTCTAGGATGTCGGCAGCCACTCAGCGAAATCGGACAGAAGCCTACGAGCAACTTAGCATTCCTGCAGCAGCGAAACCGGCGGAACAGGGGCAGCGACCTATTCAACAACCGCAACCACAAGCCCGAGCTCAGGCTGTCCCCCCATTTGGCACCCAATCCGCTCAACAGCCTCCTCAGACTTCAGGCGCAGCAGGCCGAAGTCGCTTTCCCAACGCATTTGAACGCTGGGAAGATCTTTCTGCACGTTGGGAGGGTATCGTATCATCTTTTATCCATCGCATGGAGAACAATGCCGATGAATTAGCTGGGAAGCCCCTTGATCGGCAAATGGCTCGACAGATCGATGACCTGTCTCGGGCAGGTGCAAACCTGTTTCATGCGGTGGTCGAACTGCAGCGTCTTCGGGCATCGTCCGAACGGAAGTTCCAGCGCTGGTTCTTCGAAACTCGGCATGAGCAGGAACAGTCTCAAGAAAGACAGGCAGAACTTGAGCGTCAACTGCGCGCCGAGAAGGAAGCTCGGACGCTCAGTTCCACTTCCATAGAACAGGTACGTGCAGAGAAGACGAGAGCAGAGGAGCTGGTGAAAGAGATGCGCCGCGAATTGCAAATCAGCAAGGAAGAAGCTCGCCGTGCCTGGGAAGAATTGGGCCGAAGGGAACAGGAAGAACGCGAGAGAACCATTGCTTTGCGCAGCGGAGAGCCCACACTTATTGGCGGCGTCCAAGTCGTGCCGATGCAGGGTCTGCCGAGCCGGCAGGTGAGCACAGCTCAGCGACCACAAACTAGAGATGGGCCGACAGCTGGTGCAGGGCCGACCATGATGTCTGGACAGCAGCAACAACAACGACCTTCTTCCCGTCAAACGACAACGACATCTCTCGATTCACCTGGCGAAGAAAGCCGACAGTTCACATATCGCCCCGACACGGGGGGCTCCTCAGCCACGACAGACCCATTTACAGAATCATCTCGCCAGCGCGAACAGCAAGCCCAACTGCGCCGTGAGCCAGATACGCAATTCTATACTACCCCTCCGCGCCCTACACAACCTGCAACTAGTGGTGCTGCAATTGCCGCTGCTCGAGCTGCGGCGACCGGAGGACAGTCGCCTGCCCGGACGCCTGGTGAATCGCGGTACTATCAGACTGCCACCAGCGATGCCCAAATGTCCGGTGCTTTGCCTACACCAGTTCGCCAGGGTACTGGAGGGACAGAACAGTCGTACATCCCATCCAACACGTCACTGGCACCATCCGAGGAAGAATACCATATCAATCCCGATGGCAGTTACACGCGAGACTCGCAGGGCCGCCGCATCCCTTATCGCCAACCGATAGGCCCAGGGTCATCCCGGTTGGCTGGGGAGATTAGCGATGACGAAGGTGAAATACCCGGAGAAATATCTGAGGATGATGATGATGACCATGCCGCCGACGCCGAACGTGAGAGGATGTACGGTGCACAGTATCGACAACTTCCATCATCCCAACAGCCACCCACCACATCCACAGGAATCCCTCGTACCACGACCGGGGCCCTCCCACCTATCCCTCAAGGTCGAACAATAGACCCTACATCGTCAGGCTATGACGGCCAAGTGTACGAACCAGGTGTTCCACCTGCTGTAACTCAAGCCATGACGGCCTGGGAAAGCTTGCAAACCCGCCCTCATCATCATCCGACCAGGCTGAGCGATATTATTGAAGAGCAGACTGCGAGGACGAGTCCCAGCCGAACGAGCTATGTTAGTGGCTCAGGTATTTTGCCTGGCGAACAGGGAACTGGGACTGGGACTGGGACTGGGAATGGTGGAAATTCTTCCACCCGGCGGTGAGTGGAAACAAATCTCGTTTGAGACAACACGAAGAGAAGCCAGGCACAATCCCAGAACGCTCAGCCTTTTGTTATAGCGGGCGGAATATTTCTTTGACGCTTGTTTCTCTGTTAAATAACGGCCGCCGCCTTGCAAGCTTGCAAAGATATTCATCACCATCGATATTCATCACCATCTCGGGTCCGCAAAAGACAAAAGAGAGAGGAAAAAAGGGGAAAAAAAAAGTTTCCAATACCTTAATCGATGGGCGGCTTCCTTCTCTTACGCTCAATGTACAACACAAGGTACAATATGGATTTAATGAATGCACATATGCAAGTTCGACTTCACTGAGCAGGTTAATCAATCTACCGCTCTAACAATGTCGAAACTGATCTAATTCAGCTACTTCCATCTTCGGGACATCGTTTCTAGCAAGCCTGCGAGAAGCAAAAAAATGGGGAGCTGAGATAGCCCAACGGACCGCCACTCCCCAGGAATAAGACAACATCTCGGTTCGTGATGGAGAGCGAGGGGATATCCGACGCACACAGCGACTAAAAACTAACTGTGTCGAACAAAAAGAAGCCTTTAAGAGGGGAAAAAAAAACAAGGCCGTGGATTCAAACCGGCCTAAGATGGAAAGGGCAAAGAGACTATTAAGTCTTCTTGTTCCTATCAGTTGAGGTTCTTTTCTATTTTGGGTTCACAACTCATGTTCGGGATGTTTTTATAGCAAGCGAAGGCGCAATGGGCGAGTTCTGTCATGGTCTCAATAAAATACTGTCTAGCCTTTGTCGTTGTCAGCTTTGTGAAGCTCCTAGGACAAATGGTTCGTCCAAGGTACTTGAGAATGCAGAGATACATTTCCCCAAACACACAATTTGACACTTGTTTAGTCGATGTCATTTTCATTATTATGTCTGTTGGTGTTCTTATTCGATACAATCTGGGCTGCTTCACGGTACCACCTACTCTTTTCATCTGTCCTACCGTTGTTCGCTTATCTAGGTGTGCGTTGACGTTTCCGCATCATCTCACTTGATCATGGCTGATCGTATGCCGAATTCGCATACAAGACTATTCTCATCAACTTGATATTCATAGGTCCTGACTGCTTCATTCCAAAGAAAAGCCGCCGCATAGTGGTTGTACAGTCTTCGATTCGTCAATCCACTCATATTCCCACCGCAATTGGCTAATTCAGGACGATGTTTTTCCAGACGAGGGACTCCAAGCACTGGGATTGGAATCAATGTACGGTTGAGTGACACACCAACATGTCAAGTGGAAGGGATTAAAAAGCGCCCGCGTCGCATCGCCTCCGTTGTTGAAACATGTCATGGCGGCACAAGCTTCCTCAGTCATCTTTGCATTGTACAGGTTTGGCTCAATCAATTCTCGGGCGTCTAGTTCCGTGCCTGCATCATTGAACATGCAGCCGCAGTATCCATCGGTGCCCTTGATCTTGTTCATGTGGTAGAAAGGGCAACGCCGGTCACATTGAACGCTCCAGATTTGCCGTCTTTCGGGCGAAATGTACGCAACATTATCATCAAAGCTGCGTTTACCGGCGCCCTGAGATAGAGCGGTCAGAGTCAAAGCCGTACTCTGGGTCGTATTCATTTTGTCAATATCCGTAACTACAGTATTTCCGAGAACCGAATAGATGCTGCCATCACTGAGTTTCTGGATCCAGTACGTGACGATATGGGGATTGTAAATGTTGACCGCGATGCACTGACAGTCGGCAACCGCTGTCTGAAACCGTCCCTCTCCTTGATTCACAACCAGTGGTACCAAGGCAAGGTTAGGTTGAGGGTTGACCAATCCAACTGTGCCGCACGGTAAAGAAGTGCTGCAGTTGACCACAAGTGTGGTAGCAACTGGGCCATCCAGCTGCAAGAAGATTTGGATGACGCCATCTCGAAAGTAAGGGATCATGGAGCTAACCAATGCCGTATTCTGTGGTTGCACACTCAATGATTGCTGAATTAATTCTGGGGTGATGTCTCGATTCGGTGGAGGTATGAACGTGGGGACTGCGGTATCGATAGGTCGTGCTGAACTCGTTGGCGTCTGGCGGCGGTGCAGGTCGTTCAACGGCTCTTGATCCGATCCCTGGAGTAAATTGTACACTTCGTCTGCCTTGATGTGCCAGTCTTCGATAGTGCCACAGTAACATGAGTCTGCCATCACAGAGTAGAACGGTTCCTTTCCATTTTCGCATCGTAGGGTTCCACATGGATCGGGAAACTGAGCAAAAGTTGGTTAGTAATAACAAACAACAGGGTTGCGGCGTATTTGCAGTTGGACTCACGGCAATCACGGGCCATGTTGAACAGGAGCAAGAGAAAGATGAAAAGTCGAACACTGCTTCTCCAAAGAGACAACTTTTGGACGAGCAGAGCTGGTCAAGAATAACAGACACCCGATTGTGCAGGACATTAAACATATTGTCCATCTTTATCGGTGCCGCTGCTGATAGCCCTGCGACCCATGTTGCGGCGGCGAGAGCTGTGACAATCATCACCGGCAAACTTTGCAGCTTATCGCAATCCTCAAAGATCAAGGATGTAGTAATGATACGGTTGAACAGGGGAATGTGAGCAATAAGGAATAGAGAATGAAAGGAAGATGCAGGGTGTGAAGATACAGGAACATTCACTGAGGGGATGGCGTGAATTGAAACTGCCGGACCTCGTATACTGGTCAAGGTCATACCAGAGCTGCACTTACCTGATCACAGACCGTCAACAATGAAAGCAATCTATTGCAAGCCGCATATCCCGAGTAAGTGCGATGCTAGGGCACCTTCCCAACAGTCTGGGAAAAAGATTCAGCTAATGAACATTGTGGCAGCAAAAGTTGAATTTGCATCAGTTCGGAGTCTTGCGATTAAGCCAGGAGTGTCCGTTTTCGTCGCAGGATGTGACGAGCGTACGAGATAAAGTGGGCGGCTGCCTCTCTTACAGCGACTTGTACATGGCACAAGTGGGCAAGGCTGAGTTTGTTCCAAAATAAAAGCGGGCAGGCTGACTTCAACCAGGATTGACGTGGCACATTAACGCCGAGGCGCTAGCGCACTGGGCTGAGGTAGATTTTGACTAGTCTTAAATCTTGGCAACGCCAAGGCCAACAAGGCTAGCATCTGTGTCAACACCATCACAGTGAGCTGTTCTACCTAATACTCCGGACGAGGTACCTCGTACAGGGTCCTCAGTGCTTGACAACTCTCGCTCTATATGGCTGGTACGGAGTGCCACTTACTGGCTCACATATATATGTGCTCTACCCAATCCGGGTTTTCGCTTCTGCTTTCGTGATGTGTTTCACTCTGGTTGCTCCATCTTGGTGCGGGAGGCTGGGAAGCTTCACCGGTCTCTGCCCGCTCCCAACCACCACCTCACCATCGTCCACGGGCAGAACCAGCTCAATCCCAGCCTCACTTTCCACGCATCCTTCTTAATTCTCCGGTCGCCTCATTAAACCTTACTCCCCTGCTCTCTTCCACTGTCGTCAACGTGCGTCTCTTGATTTTCCGTTCCTTTTTGCTTTTGTGCATCCTCGCTCACGAGCTTTCCCCCCCAAAGTAATGAACTTGGTCACTGATCCCAACGCTCACATTCAAACAGTCAAGCGAACCACTCCTCAATACATCAAGTCCGACTCGCTCAAGTCCTCTTCGGCTACGAACGAATACTTCTCTGACTATGCCTCCGAAGTCGCCAGCCAAAAGTCGGACGCATCCAAAGCAAGCTATGAAACACCTCCCTCAAGGATATCTACTCCACTCATACAGCACAACCCTATCGACTCCGAGATGACGCTTCCTTCAAGACCCGGCGCAATTCAGCCGGCGCCTCTGAACATTCGACACAACCAAAATATAGGCGCACAGACAACGGTGCGGATGCTGTCCAGTTTCGACGAGATGAGCCCTCCGACCCCAGGGGTTGACGATACACCATACATCCGATTTGCTATCGAGCAATTGACAAGAGACGAGGATGTCATAGGTCGAGGCAGGGACAGTACCTTTCCTGCTCCGAATGCGCCTCTTCCTGCGCCCCTTCCTCCAATGGAACCTGGATTTGACGAAAGCCCTCGTGCACGAACACCCTCTCCTCCTCCTCCTCCTCCACCCCCACAGCCTGCCTCGCCCCGTCCGCCCTCGCGGGTTCCATCAAACATAGGCCCGCAAGAGGTCATGATCCCCGTCGATCTTTCGAAAGACCTTCGTATGCGCCTCGGCTATGTACCACTACCTTTACGACTTCCAATTCTTGGTCTATACTTCTTCTTATGCCTTTTAATGATCGCCGCCCTGATATTTAGCCTGGTATTTGCAGGAACGAATCACGCACTCTTCGACTATGATGGAAACACGACGCCACGCTACTTTGTCTTCCAGTATCTACCACAACTGGTTGGCATTCTCTTGATCCTGTGGCTTTTTGTGATCGAAGCGGCAGTGTACAGGTCGCTACCTTACTACTGTATGGGGCCCGGCCGTCGTAATCGCTGGGCCTTGCAGAACATGCGTGTTCTGCCAGCAAACTATCTTCTGCCGGACTTCACCTTCTTCCGGAACAGCGAGCCCGTGCTGGGTATGACGTTCTTGATCTTCTGGATGACGAGTTTTACTGTCCCACTTCTTGCATGTGTGTTCCAGACCCAGTGGATCACAGATGATGGCCCGGCACGTTTTCGATGGACGACTGTTCGAGGCGTCGGCTGGACTCTATTGGCTCTCTACATCCTCCTTGGGCTCGGACTCTTGTATTGCGCTTTCCGGTTTCGACGGCGGAATTCCAATCTGCTTTGGGATCCTTGCTCTCTAGCTGATCTGATCTGCCTGTTTCAGAGGTCAAACGTGGGTTCTGATTTCGAGCAATCCGAGATATCACCGCAACCAAACGGGCAGATTCCTCCAAGGAACCTGCGCCTAGGTTTCTTCACCACGTCTGAAAGACCAGAAGTATTTCATGGCGTGGGAGAGGAATACGCACCTGTCAAGCGCCTATCGTTCCCGCCCGAGAAGCCAAAGGCTATCCATCCCTCAAATGAGCTGGGCGATGTTGAGGCACAACGGCATTCTTACGGCTCCGCGTTTTCTCGTAATATCCACTCGCCTTTTGTCCGATATCGGTGGACACCCTGGTTCCTCCGCGACTCTTTTGTCCTGGCCTGGATTGTCGCAGCTGTTCTGCTGGTCATCGCCTTTCTGGTCGTCAGCTTTGTCAACAAAGCGGTGCAAGACGGATTTCGCCCTCTCCTCCCATCTCTGACGGATTCGAGTGGCTTCTCACCAGCCAACTTCCTCTACAGCTTTCTGCCAGCGTTTCTCGGCATGGTGCTGTTTCTTACTTGGCAGCCAATTGACATGTATTACAGAGCAGTCCAGCCGTTCCGCAATCTGTCTCAACCAACTGGGGCCACGGCAGGAAGCTCGCTACTACTGTCATATCCTGCCTATGGACATGTTCGAGTCATTATCCGGGCTCTGATCAATCGCGATTACAAGGTTGCGTATGTCACCTTTATCGCGTTGCTTTCACTCTCTATTCCTGTCCTGGCTGGTGGAGTGTTTACTGCAGTGTTCTTCTCCTCAGACAATCAAGTCAGAATTGTCGCCAGCATGCCTGGGTACATTGCACTATGCGTGCTGGTCACTATCTATGCATTTTCGTACCTCTTCATCTGGCCCACCAGAAAGCGATATCTTCCGCACAATATCGACACCCTTGCCGCTCTCCTGAGTTGGCTATATGCTAGCCCATTGCTCGGTGATGTCGCTTTACAGAATATCGGAACGAAAGTTGAGTTGGTCGAGCGATTGACTGGGTCCCCGGCGATCCCAACGTCATTAACCGGTGACGCCGAAGTGGACGAGAAAAGTAATCGTCCTCGGCGTGCTGTCCGTCGTCTGGCGCAGGATACTGGGATGAGATATGCCTTCGGTATCTTCGTCGGTCGGGACGGGAAAGAGCATCTTGGCATCGACCGCTTGCAGAGGCCAGGTAGTCGGGAAATGCTGGTTGTGCCCACTTCGCAGTAGTTGCGAGAGAGCATGGTCATCTGCGCTGAGCTGCTGGCGAGACGATATGATTTGATGGTGATGTACAGTATGATGGATATTGAGTTTTTGATTCTGACGATGACGATTCTCGGACTATACGACATTTAATGCTTGCACATGATGGAATCAGGTGTATTTGGGCAGATAATGTGCACAAAAGTGCCTTTTTCACTGCATTATATTTGGGATGGTTGCCCCTCCTCAGCCATGCGACATGGAATATTGCAAAGGAGGTTAGATGGGACAACGAAGACATTGTCGGTTCACACCATGTATACAGGGTACGTGTACAGATACAATAAGATACCCAACCTTGTTGCTTCAGTGTCATCCCCCTAGATCGACTCCTTTTCCACCCCGTCCAATTCTAGTCCATCTTTACGAGCCGTCCCGTTCGACTCCAGACTATTATATTCCGCTTTGCCCAGAGTAGCTGTAAAGCTACCATCCAGATTACTGGGTGCGCTTAACTGACCAAATTGCCTTGGCCGATTGCGGGTGATTGGGAAAGAGGAGAAATCAATTATCCAACCCATGTCTCTTAGGACGGACACTTCCTCTTGCCCTCACACTTGTGGCCTTAAAAACCCTGAAGCCCCTAGGCTAACGGATGCCCAGCCTTCAACCACATCTCTCGTTCCGGGTCAATGTCTCTGATATAGCCGTTTACTAGACCACGCACCAGCTTGAGGCAGACCTTTAACAGAGGACTGTGAAGGACGACATCTCGGCCGCTGTCCGCAATCCTTTTCACTGCCCGAGTTTTCAACGTTCTTCATGGTGAACACTGTGATGGCTCTCGAATGCACATCTATGTGCAAAAACGTATGCGGTGCAAAGTGCTGCCATATCTCGACCACTTGTTAGTACAAAATCCGAGGATCCTCCCATGATTAAACCCTTTGACGCCATTGCGCCAGCGGGCCAGAGGTGTGTGTGGATTTTCAGCCTTGCGCAGGCACCATAGTCGGCGCTAACGCTGTCTGGGCGGCGAATCCAAATGGTCGCTCTGAGTCCTGCCCCTTGTGGGCCCCAACAAGGCGCAATCGACGACCAGGCTCTCGTCCCTGAATTCGCTCTCATTGACCACCAGAATCCAGCGGTGATATCGATTGATCATCTGATATCTCCCAACTTTCTATGTAATGGAGCTCTGTCAGAGGCGAGCTCAACACTACAACTCGCACCTTCAACTCTCCTACGGTGTAATCACCACCCGCACTCTCGAGCTAAAGCATAGGATGGGCTTAACTCTGTTGGGGATGGACTTCCCGCCCATAGTCGGCCTTGATCTTACAGTTAAGGCCACCAAATGTGTTTGTTACCTGCGAGAAAAAGGACGTCGGTGCTCCAGAGATAAGACCGAGCATGAAGACACCTTTCTGCCGAGGTAGGAGACACAATGATATCAGCAAGTGTAGAGATGATGTCGCCGTCACTGGCGTCGGGCGCGGTAAATCGCTCAGCCGCTCTTGTAGAGGCTTTTGTCTGGCCGCTGGTGCGTTCTGTCATTTCAGTGCGAATTCTAACATTTTCGTGGGCGACGTTCTTGTTGTGGTACGTGCCCACAATTTCAAACGAGCTATCAAGTGTGTCCAGAAGGCCCTGAGATGTAATGGCCATTTGGCGCTTCACCATGCTCTCAATGACCAAGTTCCACTTCTGTATTAGCCTGCACTGCTCATCGTAAGGATTAGCTACCGTGATCCACTCAAGGAGGTTGGTCGTAAAACCGGAGGCGGTAGCGTCGTCGACTTCAAACCATTCCTGGTGTTGCCTGAAACATGACATGTTGTGTTTGCATTGAAACTGTCTTCGCCAATATGAGAGTAGTTCGAAATGAATGAGTGCCTCGACGAACTTTCTGTAAGGAATAGCCTGGAGATGATGCTTCAGGATGGGCTGATAGCCACAGGTCCGTCCCCAGCACCCTAACCGGGAGATGACATCTTTTGAAAACACTGGCTTGATCATTCCTGGGCCAGATTCTCTAGAGAACGCGTGAATATCACCAATTTCAGACCACTCTTTCCCTGTTGGGGCTTTTAACAACTTATCACGCAAGGTTCTGCCAGACTTTATCAGAGGTTCGAACTCTGAGACAGCGGTACTCGTGGTGGCGTCCGATGACGGGTTGGACAGTGAGACATTTTGGGGAACTGATCTCAGAGTATATCTTGGCGGAGGTCCTGGGCGATCGACATATTCTGCAGAGCCCTTACTAACCATCAAAGACGACGTTTCGGGTTCTTCTTTCACGACGTCAAACTGTTGTGCAGCATCCTTGAGCTGGCTTTGCCATTGCCGACGGACTTTTCTCGCTGAAGCGGTTTCTTGATGGACCATAGGCTTATGTTGCCAACGGCCAGAATGCTCGGCAAGCCTCTCGATAAAACAGGACGTAGGCGCCTCAAAGACCAACGTGCTTACGAGCCTCTGTCGGAGGCTGATGGCCTCCTTCAAGACCTTCCTGAACCGACCGAGTTCAAGCAACTCCTTTCACTTATCGACAAATACCATGCCCGTGACTCTTGCTATATGAAGGTGCTTTGACCTTCAGGATTTAAGCAAACGGCCTCCATCATTCTCTCATCCGTACCAGTTGGAGCTCCCACCAGACGACATAATATCACTACACGCGACAAGATTGCCTGTGCATAGTAAGGTCACATTTCACGAGTCCTGGATTTTATGCTTCAGGCGATCATACCCGGACAAGAACAGAGCTTCGCCTCTCTGTTGCCTGCGGTTGGATTTGACCCATAGTGACCTGCTGCTGCTGACCTCCTGTCCTCCACACTTTGACCAGGAGATCACTAGTGGCGGTCTTGCTATGACAGACTTTCGGCGGCTACTACTTTGGTACATCAACTTGGAGGACCTTACCGCTTCTCTCGTAACAAGGAGGAGCATTAGGCGTACAGCTAGCTTCAATACTGATAGACTGCCATAAATGCTCTCCCACTGTATTGTCAAGCTGATGCATCATGTGCATTGCCATGTCTCCTGAAGCAAATAAGGCTCTATATGCAAAGGTATCACGCTTTTCTTCACTTGGAGAAACCTTCGATATCACGGCTCAGAATGGACCTCTGGAAACGACCAACATCGAGGAAACAACACTTCGCCTAAGTCACCGCCTCTCCACAACACCCTTATCAACCCTGGGAGGCGGCTGCATTAATGAACTCGACCACCGGCCGGCCCCAGGCTTCTTCTTTTGAGATTCCTGTCCCCAACCATAAGACCGGGCTGATATGATTGTGACCTTCCATTCTTAAGACTGTTAATCCGTCGGCTATAACGTCTGTTTCAATCCACTCTTTCACAAAGTCATTTTTTGACCTGAGAATCTCGTCTTCCGGATCAAGACCTCTGTAAAGGACGATGACCGGAACTCTTTTGAGTTCACTAATGGACCCGGCTTCCTTACAAGATCTCAGCAGACCCAGGGGGCATGGGTTGCGGACGTGATTCCCGAAATATGCTTGGAGAGTTTGTGCTCTCTCCGCAACGGCCCCATCGAAATGGAAGGGGGCCGAAAAAAATATGACACCCTTCAATTTCAGATCTGGAGCATCTGCTATGAGCATTCTCTGGCGACTTCGGCCAAATTCAGGCGCAAAGAGATAGGTTGCTAAATGGACACCTCCGGCGGAGTTACCCATGATATAAAGGTTTATCGGTTTTGCCATATCGTTGCATATATGGCCGTTGACCCATTCGATAACCAGTTCCAGATCTTGGCCTCCGGAAGGGAAGGTTGCGCCGTGAGAGATGAGTCGGCAGTCAGGAATAACGACCTTGACTCCCAGGGTTTCCGTAAAAAAAATGGCCTACGTTCGCATATACCAAACCCTCAGGAAAACCCGGGTTGATTTTATCGCCTCGGACGAATCCTCCACCATACAAGAAGATCAGAACAGAATTACCAATCTTTGATTGTGTTGCACTAGTGGGAGTGTAGAGATCCAACTGCTGACGCGGATGCTCGCCATAGGTGAAGGTCTGACGCGATGTCTATTTGTTGTGTCGGCTTGAATTAGCAACAATGGCTTGTATAGCTGGTATGTTGGCAATACGACCTGAGCAATTGCTTTGCCAAGCTGCGGAAGATTTTCCATCGCGACCCGAATGATTCTCGCTCGAAGCTGAAAAGATGAACTGTTGATGTCGAGTTTGGCTTTGCTCGTCGCTTCCTCAGGCTGGTGAGGCATACCAGAGGTCGATCGGTAGTTGAAGAGGACCAACTACCGAGAGAGATCGACCCGTACCCACCAAGCCACTTCTGTTCCCCTCCGCCCCTGGTGCGCCGTGGCGTTTGGAATATCCGCAGAGGGCGTCGCGCTCAGATTTTGAAGAACGGCGAACCGTTCCCGCTCTGTTTGGACCAGGTTGAGCAAGGATCCCAGCATATCTACCTTGTGGCTCCAATGTCAACAAGTATTCAGAGTGACTCGGCATCTGATCAAGCCGACGTCCGTATATGCGAAGACAAATTGAACATTGTGATCGTGGGAGCGGGGTTAGCAGGTCTGGCTGCCGCCATTTCCTGTGCTCTTGCAGGACACAGGGTCACAGTCTTCGAGGCCGCCAAAGAACTGGCTGAGATCGGTGCTGGACTACAAATCACCCCGAATGCTTCGAGATTATTTCGAGAATGGGGCCTGGAAGATTCAATCAAGGCCCTAGCTGCAATACCGAAGGTACTGGCTGTGCACAGATACAGGGACGGCAAGGTCCTGGCAGAGGACCGGGAGTTTGACAAGAGCATTCAGCAAAAATACGGAATCCCCTTCCTTGACATTCATCGGGTTGATTTGCAGAATATCTTATATAATAAAGCCCTCTCGCTCGGTGTCATTGTGCAGCTCGATTGTCGCGTGTCGTTGGTTGAGAGCACTCCGGCAGGGCCGAAAGTCATCTTCAAATCTGGTCAAGAAGTTAAGAGCGACCTTGTCGTTGGGGCTGACGGACTGTGGTCAAAATGCAGAGAGAGCATGTTGAAGAAAGCCGACGAGCCGCTACCGACTGGAGACTTGGCTTACAGAATTGTTCTTCAACTTGACAAGATCACAGATACTGAATTGAGGCATTGGATCGCTAACCCTCAGGTTCATTTCTGGATCGGTCCTTATTCCCACGCAGTGGCATACTCAATCAGAGGCGGCACGATGTACAATATAGTCCTCCTTTGCCCAGACGACCTCCCGCACGGACTTTCACGAACGGCAGGCTCAGTCAGTGAGATGCAGGCATTCTTTGCTGGGTGGGATCCCATACTCACCCGTTTCCTCAAGCAAGTTGACCAAGTCGACAAGTGGAAACTGATGCATCGAGAAGAGGTCGTATCATGGACGAATCTGGAGAAGAACTTCGTCTTACTCGGCGATTCCTGCCACCCAATGCTTCCCTATCTTGCACAAGGTGCAAATTCATCCATAGAAGATGGGGCGGTCCTAGGAAGATTGCTGTCCTACGTCACATCCAAGGAACAATTGCCGTCGGCGATCACGCTCTATGAACACCTCCGTAAACCCAGAAGCGAGAGGATTGCCCGAGAAACCTTCCATCAGAGGGAGGAATTCCACATGCCTGACGGCCCGGAACAGCAGGAAAGGGACAAGCTCTTCGAATCACAACTGGGTAAAGAGATATCTGGCAAGTTTCCTAGCCGTTGGTACGTGTTTACTTTGACTTCGCTGATGTGGGATGATGCTGAACCTAATTGTAGGACCTGTCCAGAGGTACAGCCATGGCTTTACGGTTACGACGCTTATCGAGAAGCAGATGAGGCGGTGAAGTTGGCACCGTTTGAATCTTAGACGATACCCAAGATGAAAGCTTTTCGTGAGGACCGTGAAAGCCTTTTATCCACAAGGTTACGTCGTTGGAATATGATAGTGGAGAATGTATTGAGAGATATAGCAGGCCAGTCATATCGTACTCCACGATGTCTTGGGAACATCTATATAGGGTATTTGAACCACCTGTAACCGCTGGATATTGCGAAGTTTTTGATGCAGTTCAGCATACTCCAGGACCTCTGCCTATGTAGTCACATTCGCACAGAATCATCCTCATATTGGGCATCGATTCTCTTATCTGCTTGCTGTCGGGTGAGTCCGACCTCCGCAGCACCACGAGGGATCATCTCTGCCTCATATGCGTCGATGGCATCTTTCAGGGATCTGCTGCCTGTATGGACTGCCTACAATGCATCAACAATCTCGCTAGCGTCTTTCAATGCGTTGTTGAGACCTTGGCCCCTATCTGTACAAAGCAAAACAAAAGGTCAATGAGTGAAACGTGAGCAGGAAATCACTGGGTGACTCACGTGGAAGCATCGCATGGGCTGCGTCGCCAGCCAATGTGACTCTCCCATCGGTATTGTCCCACGGGAACGGTGCGAACTGCATTCCGGGGTCGACCGGGAAAATTTCATCATTCTGGAGCGCAAGTGCAGCCGTTCGGAAAGGTTCAGACAGTTGTGATGCCCGGGTTTTAAAGTATCATAAGGCGTTCTTGTGGATCTCCAAGGTCGGCTGCGTATGGAGGACCTCTCCAGTAGAAGCAGATTTCATGGATCCAGTTTTCTGGATCGTCTTTGTCCGAAACATCACCACTGTAAATAATTTGCGGTGGTTAGGCTCTGAAAAATGTTCTCGGGTTTGCCTTGAGAAGGAAAGTGGATGTAGTAATCGTTACCTGCAAGAAGCGCAGTGCATCCATCACCGGAAAATGCAAGCTTCACAATAGGATGATGCATACGCAAGAATAATGCTTATTCTGCAGTGTATTTTACGACGTGGTTGATCATCGTCAAGTCGGTCCCAAGCAGCTTGCCATTATCGCCGCAGAGAAATTCCCGTACCTGAGATTTAGAGCTATCACAACCTAAGAGACAAGCAGCAGTCTCCTGAGAACCGTCCTCGAATTCGGCGGTGACTTGCTCAGGCGATTTGATACTGGCATTCAGGAGGCGTTTGCTAAACTATAGCTCTACGAAGTCGACGGCTGAGAGCGTAGTTAAGCATACATCGGTGGATGGGGGGCTCAACTTTGATATTCAACTTCTGGTTCTCGCTCAAGAGCCTGCGAAGTTTCTTCCGCGGCACAACTTCCCCCGTGTCTGCGTCGAGATGTGAAAATGTTTGATCTAGTGAGGATCGACTGTCGCTTCGTGTAGACGCGCTCCAAGACTGTCTGGTAAGAGCTTCAAATACTCCTCGCCCTAGTGAATGAGTATTCCCAGATTTTCTTCCTGAGCATCGCTTCCATATGCTCAGAGACGTCTTTCAGGGAGGCGCTCACCCCAATCTCGTGTCTTTTTCAAAAATTTCTTCTCTTGTCTCTCGCTCGAACAGGATGTACTGGACTCCTGCCTAATACACCTCAGTTTCGACATATCACTTTGACCCGAGGGCGGTTGTTTGCTTCTGAGGTTCGCACCTTTTCAGCCTAGAAGCAATAGCAAGCCCACAAATACCTGCCGTATATTCGAGTCAGAGCCTAATCGTTGGGCGTATTGATGGATATACCTCCTCCTACGACGAGCACGGGGTTTTCTAGCGAAATAGCAGAGCCCCTCATTTCACCCCACCTCATTTCAAGTTTTTCAACTGGAAAATCAATCCAGTTTGCCGCAGAATGTTCATCTTGGGAGCATTCGAATCATCACATTTAGTGACGCCCGAAATTAGGCTTCCCATCTTTTAGGCGCCCTTGGGTGAGGCTTCGGTGACGTATTTATGGATATGGCATTACATGCGCGAATAGCGGGATGGCGAAGCGCCATGGTTGAGCATGGTGAATGCATTTTCCAAAATTGCCTCGATCATGAATATCACCTTTAATTACCGGGTACATTGAGAAAGAAGGCAGGCAGATTTGTCAGGAAGAGTGATTCCCCCTTTGTCCCACAAGGCAATTTCGGCGAACGCAGTTCACCAACATGCAGCTTGCCCCTGAACATTCTTCATCAATGAATCTCGTCAAGAATCATATCCAAAGATGCGACAAGGCAGGAAACGACCCGTGTCTCTGTGGTAGAGCACTGAGCAAGCACCGACAAGTTGTACAAAACGCAGAAAGTAGAATTCAGTCTTCTGAATTGGTGGAGCTTCATTTGACTTCCAACAGCGTGGCTGATATCGAAAGTTTACGAAATAAATCCGTTGTCCGTTTAGCTTGAACGAGTCTGAAATTGATCTTTCATGTGTACAACACACAAACTAAAGGCCTTGGATCTGAAGCTGTCATCTTTCGCCGGGTGAGTCTGCCCCTTGTCTAACGACATGAGAGCAAACTTCATGGGTATGAAGCAAAAGGGCAGCCAGTCTCGCAGATTTCTTCAAGCAAACGCCCTAGTCTCATTCCTGCTGATATCAACGAAAGACAAACCCCTCTGCTAACTCCAAACAAATGAAGAGCATTCGATCCTGGTATGGGCTCGAGGAAGCAGAATGTCACACCTCTATCGGATGGTTACCCCAATCCTTGCGCCGGGGGGTTGAGGGATGGATGCGCCGTATGTCGCATTCCCCAACATGCTGGCGCCTCCAGAGTGACCATCCTCTGCAGTGTGTTCACCCGCGGGGTCAAAAAACCCTCCATTAGCCTCATCATCGCCCTCTATGTCGTCTTCATCGTGATATTGTTCGCCAGGCCAATATGTTCCCCCAGGAGAATATGTCCCACCATCAGTCTCCAACCCGTCATACGGCCCCATATCCTCACCGTGTTCCATATCACCACTGTGTTCCATGTCCTCACCGTGTTCCATATCACCACCGTGTTCCATATCACCACTGTGTTCCATATCGTCACCGTGTTCCATATCGCCACTGTGTTCCATATCGCCACTGTGTTCCATATCGTCACCGTGTTCCATATCGCCACTGTGTTCCATATCGCCACTGTGTTCCATATCGCCACTGTGTTCCATATCGTCACCGTGTTCCATATCGCCACTGTGTTCCATATCGTCACCGTGTTCCATATCGCCACTGTGTTCCATATCGTCACCGTGTTCCATATCGCCACTGTGTTCCATATCGCCACTGTGTTCCATATCGCCACTGTGTTCCATATCGTCACCGTGTTCCATATCGCCACTGTGTTCCATATCGTCACCGTGTTCCATATCATTGCCGAGATTCATGTTGTTGAGGAAATTCGTATTGTATGCGTTGGAATCTACACCGTTGCCAGCATTCGTGCTGTTGGCGAAGTTCGTGTTGTATGTGCTGGAGTCCCCGCCGTTATTGACGTTCGCGCCGCTATGGACACCAGCACCGTGATCGAATCCCGCGCCCATACTGGGATCCATACCCATACTGGGATCCGCACCCATACTGGGATCCGAAGGGTATGTGTTAGGATCGGTGGGGTATGCATTAGGATCTGAAGGGTATGCGTTAGGATCTAAAGAGTCTTCGTTAGGATCCGAAGGGTATGCGTTAGGATCGGTGGGGTATGCGTTAGGATCTGAAGGGTACGCGTTGGGATTTACAGTTCCCCCTGGGTACATATTCGGGTACTGCTGATTTTGCCATTTTTGCAGACCAGTTTGGATAAGACCTGTGACTGTGGTATTCGCTGCATTCGCACCGATACCTGTGAGCTGGCTCTTCAAGTCATCTTGCCAATTGTAGCTGGGCTGCTGGCCATAATACGAGTTTGGGTCAGTTGCTCCTGAGCCGAATGGGAAAGAGTTCTCATTTGGTGGGTATGAACTTGTCGGTCGATGTTCATTATCAGGAGCGATGGTACCCGGATGCAGGGGTTTTGGAGGTGCTTGCGACACATGTGGCTGCTGAGCACTCGGGACTTCGAACGGTGGCTCTTCCGGATGTCCCGGCTCGGTGTCTGGATGACCGAGTGGTGGTGGATGTTGGAGCCCAGTCCCGTGGGGTTCCCCTGGCAGTGGTGTTGCTGTTGGATGGTTCGGCTCTGTCCCATGGGGTTCTCCTGGCAGTGGCGTTTCTATTGGATGTTTGAGCTCAGTTCTGTGAGGTTCTCCTGGCAGTGGTGTTTCTGTTGGATGGCTCGGCTCTGTCCCGTGGGCTTCTCCTGGCAATGATGTTTCTGTTGGATGGTTCGGCTCTGTCCCATGGGGTTCTCCTGGCGGCGGTGGTTGCCGCTCTGGAGTTACTGGAGGGTTATGTGATGGTAATGATGGCGGCTCTGGTGGAGATGCTGGATGACTCGCTGGTGGTGGTGATGGTGGCTTCGCTGGAGCTGCTGGAGGGTTGGAAGGTGGTGGCGGCGGTGATGGTGGCTTCGCTGGAGCTGCAGGTTTGGGAGGGGGAGGTGGTGGTTCTTTAGGACCAGAGCTTGACGGCTTAGGAGTCTTTTTCAAACTGAATTTTCCCATTGCAGCGTAATAGGCAAGGTTGATAACACGAAGGTCGAGAACCTGGAAGTCTACCTAATCTCTATCAGAGGGAATTACTTTTTCTTCCAAGAATCCCAGGTGCGCAATCTATGAGTTATATACAATTTCAAATACCGCTGACTGTGCAAGTTCGCAGTATTTACAGCCATGAAGGTGGCCCTCTTTGGCGACATCCCACAGCACGATGCGTAGAGAGCTTGGAGGCGCAGCCTAGTTAGGCTAGAATACTGCGTGAACATACAAGGATTCGTTCTATTTAGGTCGAGCCGAGTACAAATCCCGGGCGGTGTAAAAGCGACGCGTCACAATGGTCAAAACAATGGCCAATCTATCTTACCATTAATTACGGGTGCAAACCCTTTCCAACTTTTGCCTTGATTAAACGCTACCAGCGGGTGGTTGTGGGCATGATAGCTGGTCAGTTGGCAAAACGACTTGTGTGGCGTAAGCGAGTCGCCATGATTCCACGTGTTGGGTGCCACGTAATCGGTAGAGAATGTGAAGAAACGCCATGTAAAATACAGGATATTTTCATGCCCAGGTAGGTAACTTGACCGTATAGTCTCATTGGCGGTCTTGGACCGAGTACCCAAGCGGGGGCCGGCCCCCCGCTACCCCTGTTCGTTATACTGGTATCCACTTGTCAAGCTAGCCCTTTATCACATTCCTACCACCCTGGCGCTAGTATGCGACTCCCTGGACTACCGACAGCTTCTCTACCTAGGTATGCATAGTGCTTATACCACCTTCATTCAACTGCATGTACGAGATGACAGGGACAATGCCACCCCGGCCTTACGGTAGCCGAAGCACTGACTTCTACGTCTAACAATAAACTTACTTCCCCTTGCAGCATAGGGTTGATGAATATGGAAGGTATTCTGGTCCATTTTTACCACTGTGGCACTGCCTCGGTCTGTCGCTTGCACTCGAAATATCGTCCTCAGGAGAAATAGCCCCAACCCACTGTTGCTCTCTGATAAGATTGAAGTTATTACTCAGCTTGACCGTTCCTTTAGCAACACGTGCAGACGAGTTACTATTTTTGATCGTGGTTGGAAATCCAGAAGTGGACGATATAAAGAAGTCAAAGTTTGCCTTGGCAAACGAGAAGAGCATATAACAGTACCAGTCCTCAAAATCCAACGTTTTTCAAGCCTCCATTGAGAATAACTTGCCGCTTATATTATCCCACTCAGTGCGTCCTCCATAGTACCCATACACCACACAATGGTTCTCGATCACGTGGAACATCTTGCCGAGCACGGACTTGAAGACATCGTCGATGGTGTCCACGACATTGCTGACGCCGCTGAAGATGCTTGGCATGATGGCGACGACCATTGCGACGACTCAGCCATGAACGATGGGAGCGGCCATTACGACGAACATGGAGGCGACGACGGCCAGTGGAACCATGAACATGATGGCCACCATCACCACCACGAGCACGCAGGCTGGGACCACTCCCACGACGGAAGCTACAACAAGCATGAAGGAGATTGTGAGTCCCCGACAACTCGATAGATCCATATCCGCGAACATTGTAGTCGCTAACTATTTCTTTCAGACCATGACGGCAGCCATGGTGAGGCACATGAAGGCTGGGGACACGATGATCATATGGGCCATCACATGGGGGGACACGATGATCATATGGGCCATCACATGGGTGGGCACGAAGATCATACTCACCCAGGATCTGGTCATCATGATGATAGTTATCATCAACAGCAACACCACCCAGAGGAGGATTGTCATCAACAGCAACATCACGATGACCAATGCCACGATATGTAGATTTCTCAGTTCTTGAGAGCGAGGGTGTGCGGGTACAGGGGATATTTCAGGATCTCGTTTGGATGTACTTTGTAGCTTCCGTGGGAAGGTTTGAGCACAGGTCAATGGGTTGTTACAGTCAATTTCTGAAAATTGGTTATTCCTTTGCGACATCGGAAGTTTTGTATTCACTTCTGTCGCTACATCCAATTTCATGTTGCTCTCTCCATTGCGTGCAATTATACTATACCTTCCAATCCCCTCTACTTCTTATGTATTGGAGTCCGATAGGGAATGGAACCTGTCACTCTGAATAGTACACTCACACTCCCCAATTTCGCTGGAAAAGACAAGAAACATTGATGGGGGGAATTATTACGCGGTTGATGAGTATAATTTGGGTTTATCAGGGAAGCTGCTGGTGATCCTGGGAATCGGAGGGATTAAGACTCAGGATCCTCCTTACTACGTAGTTATTCTAGACTGAAACCTCTAGCTTGTTGCTGGGAATGAAGGCTTCTGATGTCCAGACTCTGGAAGGCAACAACACCTCGACTATGAAACATGACTGACCAGAGGTTCTATAGAAACTTCCCTTGAGGTGAGTCACCGGCAGCCGGCTGCAATATTCAATACATCACTTGAAGAGGACTAGCGGTGGATATCGACATGAGATCCATAGCATTGATGAGTGGCACGCAGAGCGTACTCCGTGCTTTACAAAATAATGTGAGATGGAAATCCATTGCTCGGGCGCCGTCACTTCTGCCATTCTGTCTGCTAGTAGCTAGAACCCGGCCAGTAAGTTGCATGTCAGCTGCGCGTCTGACTGCCCCCCAGCCTACAACATAAGAAATCCCCTGACCTAAGCACAGTTCCCGATATAGATTGAAATTGTAATCCAATCGTGGGAACGGCCAGTGGATGAGGGACCGCCAGCCTTGCGGAGGTGCATCCGTGCGCAGCCCGATTTCAAGCAATCTTGGCAGAGAGGGGCAACAGAAGCTTAAATTAGCATGTGGGGAGCCTCCCGTACCGGTTATTGTAGCTACCAGTTGGAGTCTGAGAATATTGTCACTTTCTGCAGAGGGGCAACGCTATATACAGCCATAGGGCCATTTCGGCACTAAAATTGGTTGGGCTCAGCCTCCAGTACTAGGCCCCCCTTACAAGAAGCCAAAGTCAGCTCAAGTAGCTGAGCATAAGAATAAAATTCACCCATCACTATCTCTACTGCAACTTTGCTACCATCGAACTCGCTCGTTAGCATAGCAATTCTCGGTTTTGTGTCAATCTTTGCATTTCCTACCTCTACTTGACTACTCTCTTTTGATTTGCCTAGACTACACACTCTCTCAAAATGAATTCGGTATCAAGCATGGGAGCGGGTATGGGCGCCGGAATGTCACAGTATTGGAAGAAGCATATAGCCGGTACGTCCCCAAGCCACCCCATGAATTGAAGACTTGTTGATGGTTGGGCAGACAGTGTCTGGCTGCGGCTTTTTGTATATCTATTAGCCGCGCTTGCTATTTTGTTCCAGAGTGAGCTATGCCTTCCAACCCGTGTTGCAGTCGTACCTATTAACTGTTTCTGTAAAGGTCTAGTCATTCTGGGTGACGTACCAGGTGCCCAAGGAGCAGGTAGTGGTACATCAGGATATTATCTTTTACAGTTCAACTCCGTTGATGGAGAAGCAACAACTCGACTCCGCATCGGTTACACAGGTTCGTATTGTGATGAGCACAGAGTGAGAAGATGGCGGCTGACTCTGGCGTAGCAATGTGTTGTTCGCTTTCCAGCGGGCCTGAACACTGTGCCATCACAGTCGGTAAAGATCACGCGTCAAGCATTCGATACCTATCCATCGGATCAAACAACATATACAATTTCGAAGCATTGCCTGCTAATCAAACACTTAACTCTGTGCTGTTTGAGGTGGGGGCATCTTTGCAAAATGATGTCTTCATTGTGTTTCCCGCAATTCCTGGCATGTTCTTGGCCCTCGGAGTCATCATGTTTGCCATCTACGGTACATTAAACAAGCCTTGGGTTGGCCCAGCATCCTCCTGGAGGCAGTCACAAAGGAACCGCAGGCTCGACATACTGCGGATTGCCATGATCGCTCTTATCGGTCTTTCAGTCGTCTTCGCTTTCGCCGCTGCTGTGTCGAATTCGCAAATGTTCGCAGCAGTCCAGCTGGCCACGAGCCACAACACGCAAGCGCCGGGGGTATTCCAGGTGACAAAGGGCACTGCTGCGCTAGCGTTACATTGGCTGGCGGTGATTTCGACTCTCGGTTTCCTTATCGGCATTATTCAGACACACGTCGAAATCAGCGCCGTCAAGATCAAGGTCAACCCCGACGATACAGCGGGAACGACGGGTGGCAGCCAATTCCAGGCGAACGGCAGCACGGTTGAGAGAGCTTCCCTCCTGAAGGATGCAGAGCCTATGGCGATGAACCCAGCTGGCTTGGCCCCACAGGTTCCTAATCCAAACACGAGCAATCCGGGTGGGCCGGCTGGAGGCATGGGGGCACGAGGAGGAATGAGAGGCGGCGCGATGGGTGCTCGTGGAGGAATGGCAGCACGAGGTCGGGGAGGCGTTGCGCCCCGAGGACGAGGAATGTAAGAAAACGCATATGGACCTACTCTGTAATCGTATCGGGTGGGTAATTCTAGGTCAGTCTTTCCGGCAGTTTCGAAAATGGCAGCAGATAAACCTCGCTTCAACTGGGCTCTGAAGCTTATACGGGTTCCATAACAGACGGCGGATTCGAGCTCATTTTACACAATCAATTAAGCCTGGATTCAAAGGAAAAGAAAGATTGCGAAATCCTACCGTGTGATATGTCTCGTTTGCAACACTACACTCCCTAGTGATAGTCTGGTACAACAGCTTGCTCAGAACAACTAGGCATTTCACCTGGCGCGAAATTGCAAGCTTAGTTAATGACTTTAGTTCTCTCACGGCACTCGAAGAGGTAAAGCAATACCCGCAGCTCTGAAGTAAAAACGGGGGTTGTGGTAGCTGCACGGACGAAACCTTAAAGGGAGTTGGTCTCCTTGTCCTCTGATATAACGGCCGAGAATGGACTGACCATTCTAAAATCTGGCTAGGAGATTTAAGTCTCCGTTGGGAAAGTGAACTAATCTTCGCAGCGATGGCGATGAACGGGGTAGCCCAGATCCCGGTAAGGCCATTACTGCACGGAGTACCTCGTACAAAGTAAAGCCCCGCAGTGATATTGCTTGTGGCTGTCTGACGTGAATATTGGCACACTGAGCCCTTTCCCGTTTCTAACTGGGTCGGTTGTTTTAGCGGACCCCGACTACCGGAGGCTTGAGCAGCGGCCGCCTGTATTGGAGTTACAAGGTAAAAGTCAAGGGACTGACCTTGTAATCACGGGGTGGCAATGAACTGGTAAGTAATGCGGGTAATAAAAAAAAGGTTAAAATCAAGGTTAGACGAATCGGAAGATTGCTCCGATTTAAGGCCTATGAGGTTCAGGCCCGCGGTTAGTTTAGATCGACGATGGTCCTTCTAGTGCTTGGTGAGCTTGGTCTTACTTAAGTAGGCTTATTATCAGTCAGGGGCCAGATGAGGCCAGGTGCACCCCATAATTGGCGATTTCATTGTCAGCCCTGGGGCTGCTACAGAATCCTATTTTCACCTCACATGGACGGATTACTCCGTCCTGGACGCAAGAAGCAAAGTCTTCGAACCCCCTCAAGCTGCTGATCTTATGCTCCCAACCACAGATCGACTCCCCCCACAGTAGCAGGTTGGTTGAAAGGGTTCCCTGGCTGTCATCCGGAGACTGACCGGTTCTTGGCCGTGGAGATTTCTATCAAAATGCCTGCCCACCCTTTCTTGCAGTGATGTTTGGAAGTCCCACCACTACGCGGACCTCGGGAGTAATCCGCAGTAATGGGTTCTCTACGTGCGACCACAAACAGCGGAGAAAGCAGCCGTCTCACAGAAGTGAATCCTCCAATTGGTTAAATCCGTCAACTGACTCGTTATCTGATTGAGGGGGTAGATGAGCCTTACTCAAATCTCCCGGCCCCTCATCTCACATGTAAGTGTTGTCGGGTACCGGACTTTCTCCGGTCAATGCCCTTTCCGTCGTTCACAGTCTGAAATTTCATGAGTCTAACATCCGCATATGGTTAAAGTTGATTTTTTAGCTATGTACAGGCCTCTCCCTATATACAAGGGCCAGCAACCCATGTTGGCCGATGTATCAAGCATTATTAGACATGAAATTCTGACGGCCAACCTTATCTGAATTCTTCGCCGTAACCGTAATATTCATTGTCGCGTGGGTCCACTAGCATCCTTCTTGATGAGAATGCATCCCAATAACCCGAATCTGGAGGTTGCATGTAATACGGCATCATCATCGGCCTTCGTTTGGTTGCCACCGGTGGCATATCGAATGCCTCGTATTGTCTCACAGGAACATGTGACCTACGGTTGGGCCCAACACAGAGGGTGGCAGCCGTAGTCAGAGTCGAAATGAAGAGTAGCGCGACGGCGATCCATATCAGAGCCAAGAAGACATTCCCTTGTTGTGCGGACACACCAATCTGCTCCCCGTTGGCGTTGATCCCGTTGACAACGATTGTCGTGATTGCTGTGGCGATACCCGCACAAATCGTAAGACTTAGCAAGGCGAGCTGGAGCGACAGTCAACATTCTGTTACGAGAGGCCCAAGGTTATAACCAATCAAACGACTTACCACAGAGGTGATGAGGATAAATTTCACAGCGGCCTTGCTGGTTGTGAATAAAACCCAGAGCGCCGCCAATGTAGCCAAGATCAAGAAGGCAAGTCCAATGAGGAAGAAAACGACCATAGCTGCACCAGCAGACTGCACGTAGATGAATGCGCTCGTAATCCCGTTTGGCCAGTCTAGGTCTTCGAAAGATATGTCTTCTCCGAGGGCGTTACCAAGGCGTGTCATGGCCGTCTCCATGATCTTGACGAGGTCAAAACGCCGCGACAGCGACGGAGTCTCGCAGTGAGTAATAACGGCGCTTGCATGATCATCTTGATAAGATGGTAGATAATTGCCTTCGCAATAATTGATAGCGTAAACGGAGTAGTATTCGAAGAGATCTAGCTCCGCATATCCCAGCGTGAGGGTTCCGTTGACGACGGCAGTACCGTTGATTGTGAGCGTTCCATTTACAAACTCAACACAATTGCATCCGTTGCCGGTCCCGTTGTTGAATTTTGTATTTGCTATTTGAGATATGTTAAGCTAGTTCATGTCAGCCAGCTTTCACCCAAGCAGAGAGAGTGTGTGAGTGAGTGAGAGTGATGTTTGACTCACGTTGAACATATCAAGATTCGTAAGTGTGGTTGTTGAGTATCCTCCCAGGAGACAAATAAACATTAATGCAGTGGCGGCGAGCGCCGAAAGCAGCGTTAGCAAAGGGGAGACTCTCATGATAAGACCAGAGAAAGCGTAGAGAAGTTGTAAATGACAGTGGGAATACAGCAAACGGGTGCAGATCTGTAAAGAGTGACCAAAGGCCAAGGTAACGCCGCCAAATCTCGGAAAGAGTGACTGTTCTGCAAGGGAGTGTGAGCAATGGGAGAAAATTGACAAGAGTGCACCCGAGCACGATTAAACTTAAGGGACGAATTGTGGAATCATGCTTAGAATGCCCATGGCTATGCAACCGGATAGAGGAGCATGACATGTGTGCAGCCTTGACGGCTGCACGGTCCAGTAAACGCCCGGTATAACTAGTGACCCATTCGCTTTGCCCGAAGGGGGCCGAGTAACTTCGCCACATAGAGGGTTGATCTTCTCTCGCCCCCCAAAAATACACCTCCAAGTAATCAAGCATAGTAATATTCTTATTTTAGCTTACACCTTCCATCCAGTCAAGTGGTTGGGCATACATGGAAGCAGTTTCTAAATGAGTTGCAGCTCCACTTACATTTTGAAGGGCCTTGAATGCACTCGAACGCGTCGTACCGCATACGGCCTCCCTTCCTTTCAATGCTATTCACACGCTTCGGATACTAATTATTGGTGGTTTCTCCAAGCATGAAGTTAACTAACCTCCAATGTATCTAGACTCTTTCGTCCTAGTTTGGTTCACAAAGTTGCCTGTTAGCAAAAGGCTATATTGAAATAAATATGTACTATACTCGATCAATTCGCTTCAACATATCAGCTGTAGTAGCAGTCAATTATTCTAGAGAGTCACTGTGATCTTAGTCCGTTAAGACTCTGGGAGTTGGTCAAAGATTTCTTTCTTTCTACCATCCTTTCTCGTGATTAAACAGTGGTTCAGCTCGTAAATAGGCGTCTGTGCAGAAGAGCATCGATTTCTCTGATATCTCGGCCTATAAACGAGAGCATCCACATACAGAGCAGTTGACAGACTATATATCATTTTCAGCAATAACATGACAAAACATAAAATATGGCCCCCCTTCAGCGCGAAACTTCATCGACACAAAATTCCATATACCTAATCTGCTCGCTCTACTGATAAGATCAACCCTGCACAGGAGATGGCGCTAGAAAACCTATATCTCTTCCTCTTGTCGCGTCATACCCAGTCATGGGAGAGTTTCTGGCCGCTGAGGGCGATCTGTTCAAGTTGTTGGCAGGTGAATGAGGCCTATGCAGCATTTGTCTCGAATTCGATCGGACAATTGGCGAGGAGGGCCTTGTGCGTGCTCTAGCCTTGACCGGACTTCTCCAAAAGAGATTATGGAAAAAGGACTCAGTTGGAGTCGGGGAACGAGCTGATTGTGTGGACTGTGAATCTATCGGCTTCACACTGAGGCTCTGGTCGCGGTTGATGCTAAGAGCCCGAGATGGATTTGGAAAGCTGGTTGAAAATAAAGGTGTACCAGTGCGAAGCATGGAAAGAGCTGAAATATTGGGAGGGGCTGGAGATGCTGGAGGCGGAGGAGAGACTGGTAATTCTAGAATTACAGTCTTCGGCGTATGATTGTCGACGGCATGACTGCTGGAATGGACATGATCGCTAGAATGATGAACTGTAGAAGCACTCCTGGGACTATCATTAGCCCACAACTTGTCAGTCATGACCGCAATTCCCCACCTTACCAGGAGTCGCTCCCGTAGTAGTGATGTTGGTGTTGATCATGCTGATTGTATGTTGCTCCCTCGGTGTAGTGATAGTTGCCGCCTCGTGAGGATCCTTGATTATATCCATGATCATAATATTCACCGGAGTGATCTCCATAGTCCTCCTCGGATGCATGATAATGGTGGTAGCCGTTCCCATAATCCTGGCTTTCATCATAGTGTTGATGATAGTATTCAGGTGATTCCTCATGATACCAGTAATCGTCTTCCCAGTAGGACTCGTTGTAGTCGTAATCCTCTCCCCCATACTCGCCATCCCATCCGTCATAGTCATTGTAGCCGTCATAGTAATAGTCGTGGTGGTAATATTCGTAGTCCATTGCAATGGAGACCTATATATCTGGTTGATTAATCGCAGCTTGGCCTAGAGAAGGAAAACAAGATGCTAGAAGCAGAGAGCGTGTTGAGTTGCCTCTTCAATGACGCATATTTGACGAGTGCATTCGCTGGAAGTTTTATTCGACAACAAAAGAGAGCCTATTATGCAAAGAAAAAGGTCGCTACCGGGCTGTTCAGCCCTTAATTGGACACGACCTATTTTCTGTTGGACAACACAGCTCAGACCGTCAGGATTAGACTCCTAAGCCCGTTGAGGCAAAGGTCGCAGCCAAGGATTTACGATGAATGGCAAACCCACTGTGGCTTGCCTGCTGTGCTTGCTGAACCTAGCTACAAATGGCCACATCCCGACATCCCCAATATTAGTGATATGCGGCGGAGATGGGCCCATAAATAAATCGGGGCAACCTCCAGAGTCCCACAATAGAGAAGAATTAAGAATACGGATAAGCTTTTGCCTTAGCCGTGGCGGCCTCGAGCTATTTCGGGGCTAGTTCGACTTTCTTACCGCGGGCACCGAGGTGCTGATATGTGGCAGGGAAGGCTCGGGCCCCCGAAACTCAAAGCGACAAACCCCGAGTATTTAGAGTGGCTCAGTCATTACATCAAGTTTCACAGATCCACTTTCAGACCAGTGTACCTAGCCATTAGGTCCGGCGACAAGACCCTCCAAATGGCACGTTCGGGCTTACTCTATGCCGCAGCCAGGGCATCTCACACTAACATACTACGATCCTACTGGACCTGCCTATTTGACGACGATACAAAAGCTTTTTGAGCTGTCGGCGTTGCCGTTTCTGGAAGCGGCCTCCGCAATTCTAGCATGTGCCAGAGACATTGGATAAGATTACCGATGCGGGTCGGCGCAAAACCTCAGCCATTTCGAAGGATCTGGTGGTGCCGAACAATGCCATCCTTGACCCTGCTCTTGTGAAGAAGTACTTTAATAGCTGAACAAATTTGAATTGGTGGTCCTGTACAAAGATGCACATACTAAGCTCTAGTGCCTTTAGTTCCCTCAAGTTACTTTGGATTGGCTTGATTCCTCAGTAGGCATGGAAAGAAGCCACTCATGTTGATGACTGAAAGGATTGAGCTGGAGGCCAGAGGGTTTGTCCGACGGTGGGGACTGCATGCCGTCGCCTTCCTCTTCGCAGGTCTCGTCTTCCCACTCATCTTCATCGTCAGCTAAACTGACACTAGTCCTAGAGCCGAATCCGTCCGTGTGGTCGTTGATCGAAACCCTGGTAATTCTGTTCGGGTCATCCACTGCCGCGGGTTTCTCTGATGTCGTAAGATACGGGCGATATGGCACATACTGTGTCTGCGGGTTGGGATTGATCGCATAGCGTGGGACCACAGAGTACTTTGGAGGCGCTTCTTCTGTCGTGTCGTAAGAAAACAGATCATCCTCTGGATCGGTTTGGTTCTGTTGCGCATATTCTTGGTGATGATTTGGAAACTCGTCAATATCATATGGATGTGGATAGGTTTGGCTTTGTTGCGAATATTCTTGGTGGTGACTTGGAAACACATGATCGTCGTCGTTATATAGCTGTTCTTCCGCTGGATGTTGTTGGTGCTCTTCCGGATGTGCAGGGTCGTCATATGCGGGTATCTGATATTCTTCGGGATGTACGTCACCCAGCTCGTAAAGATTAACTTCACCGACGACCTCCTGGATTTGGTCATCTGAGACAAGTCTGTAACCCGGCTCTTCGTGCCACTCACCTCCTCGTCTCTCTGCACCCTGCTGATAATGGTAGTTATCGGCCTCCGGATTCCAGTCATTATATGTCCCATCAGCTTCTTGGTCGTAATATTCTCCATCATATTGTTGATCTTCAGGATAGGAATGGCTCTCGTAATTGTTGCTGCTGGATCCAGCATAAGTTCCAACTGTATAGTTCTCGTCTGCAATCTCGGTCTCCTCGGCTCTATATACCTCGTTTCCATATGGTGCTGGGTTGGGGTCAGTGTAATCCCCATACGGGTCTTCCTCGTACGTGTCAGCTCCATTATCTGGTTCATTGTATGCACCAGACATGTAAGGGCCCTCATAATACCCCTCCTTCGCAGCTGAGAGGTCGTACTCAGCAGCGGCAAGTTCATCGTAGCTATTGTCATATTGATATTGTTCTTCCTCATATCCAAAGTTTTTGTCCTCCTCCGTGTAGTTTCCGTCTTCGTCCACGAATCTGTTGTTCGTCTCCGCGTGCGGCTCGTTGTACTCTTCCTCATGCTCTTCATAATATTCGTAGTCGTTTTGGTTTTGTTCGTAGTATTGCTCTCGTTTTTCTTCTGATTCTTCTTTGTTCGACTGCGAACCGTGACCCCCTTCCTTCTTGCCGAGAATGTAATCTGTCAAGTGTTTCACGACTCGAGATCTGTCACCGCTTGCAACGGCGTCTAGAAGGAGCGCATATTCCTGAATCTCATCGCGCCACTCCTCGTCTGGCATTGCTCATTTTCTTGAACCTGAATTCATATGCGCATTTTCCTGGAACACCTTTCAGCGGGTTGCAATCTTGTACGAAGGCACGAGACATTCTTACTTGGAAGTTCACTGGATAGAGGATTTTTTTTACTCAAGCCACCAATTTTGTTGTATTAGAATGGACAGTCATGCAAATCGCACAAACAGTGTAAGAAATAGGCTTTGCTGCCTCAGGTGACAGGAATGCCCATCGTCTCTAGCCTCTAGGGCTAATCTTCTAATTGACAGACGAGATTTCAGGCCTTCTAACGCCTTGCTGGTATCTAGTTAACACCTTGAACGAAAGAGGGCAAGTCTGGTAGCTAGCCAAATCAGTAAGCGTGTAATCGAATAAGTGAAAATAGAAGCCCAATAGTCGCACTTCTCATCCAAATCCACCTCAAAATAGCTGGCTGCATAGCCTGAATTTGAGTTGCCATCAGATCGCTAGCACGAAACAATCTTTCGACCCACAATAATACGCTATCCTTGAGGGTGCGCTAAAAGTGGGTCATATTCTGACACAGAATATCCGACCACTTCAGAACCGGGGCCGAAGAGGCCTTGCCTTCGCCGTAGAAACATCCATTCTGAGTCCGGCAGTGTATTCAAAGCAAGCCAGTAATCTGTGCGGCTTGGACTGTCACAGAGAAATAACCATTCTTACGCCGAGAGCTAAAATTGGTAGCCTTTCATTTAATGCCTTCGACCAACAGCCAAGGTGGCTGATGAGTGTGGAGTCGGGGTTTCAAAAAGTCGTCTTCTCAAACAACGTACGATTTTAGACAGTATTGATATAAGGACTCAAAGTCGCTGTGTTTGCCCTTTCCTGCCTACCATACTCACCTCAGCAAATACTTCTTCATCCTAATTATCCTTTGACTTAAACCACGTTAGAACGCCCAATTCCTCACCCGCTTTCTCGACATTATCAATTCCAATGAGTTTCATCCCAGGGTTAGCAGGAGCTTTGATCCCAGGCCTTTTGGGCGGCGGCGGCGGCGGCGGCGGCGGTGGTGGTGGTGACGAAAACACAAACACGGCCGACGCCACTGCCACTGCCACCGCCGAATCGTCGAACTCGCAATCTGCCACAACTGGGGATAACACCAACACGACTCAAGGCGGATCGGGCGGAGAAGGTGGAAATGCAGCTGGGGGAAATTCAACTTCAGGAGGAGGAACTTCCACTTCAGGAGGGGGTACGAGCGATAGTACCGGAAATGCGGTTGGGCCTGTAGGAGGTGAGTGGTCTGAAGATGCATGCAGATTCATCTGGACCCGTCCTTCAAAATTTGAGTGATCGGCGACCTGACAAACAACAGCCAGTGGAAACAGTGTCAGCGGCGTCAGCGGTGGCACCAGCACAGGGGGGAACACAACACTCGGCAACATCTCTGGTGGTTCGGGCGGAAGCGTAGGGAATGTCGCAGGTGGGAGCACCGGGCCTATCAACAACGACAATGATTTCGACCCTGAGAACAACAATGAATTCAACCCCGAGTTCAACCCTGAGTTTAACCCGACTTTCACGTTCAACCTGCAAGGCCTGGAGGATTGTGGAGATTATCATCATGGCGGCGGCGGCGGCGGCGGCCATCACAATCAGCACGGGCAAATGCAGGGGCAAATGCACGGACAAATGCACGGACAAATGCAACAGATGCACGGACAAATGCAACAAATGCACGGACAGGGCATGGGAGGACAAGAGCAGTATGGTGACGACGACCAGTACGACGAGCAATACCCCCAAGAGGAGGAAGACCCATCACAAATGGGCCATTCTTCCATGCAAGGGAGCTATCCCGGTATGCAAGGAACACAGGCCAGTGGCTCCTCTATGATGGGAGCGCACCATGGTATGCAAGGAATGCAGAACTATTCCATGGGAGAGCACGACTCATTCGATCCGCACAGCGATCAGGGGGGCTCTGCTGTGGGAGGGAACTACTCCGATATGCATGCAACACAAGGAACTGCTGCCTCTCATGGTATGGCATATGATCACAACATGGCCGCTGACAACATGGAACATGACCCTCACAGTATGGCATATGCCGCTGGTGGCATGGGAGGCTCAGGAGAAGACGAAGGATACGAAAATTATGGAGAAGAGCTAGGAGAGGAGGGCATGGAAGAGGGTCATCCACAAGAGCAAGAAGATGACGGCAGCGGATACCAGTATGACCACAACTACCCACAACAAAGTCAGGCGGTGTATTAATAAAGAGGGTGGTATTGGTTCTGTTAGCTGCACACTCGTCCGGCATATCGGTTGTTTGATTTAGTGTTGTATGACAGATGTTTGGTGATGCGCGGGCGTTCCTTATTGTTTAACATGAAAATCACGAACATATCCCGACTTCACAAATAGGATGACCCCTCCGAAAGAAGAACAAGATTTCAGTCATTCATACCTTGATAGATAGCAAAAAGTCGGGTGCCCATTATTTACCCATTTGGCGGTCGAGACCCTTTGCTGAGCGTGTGCCAAGGGGAAAATGGGAGAGGTCATAGCTGGTATTTGCGTAATTTCTGCTGTAATCGAGCACAGGATCAGGAAAACAGGGCTTCCTGTTTGCTCAGCCATACTGAAACTTGAAGCCGGCCAGTTACTACTAAAGTGGGTGACCATTTGGGAATCCTGACGGTTGATTGTTTTTGTGTGGATATGGGTATGGGCAAGATGTGGGTTAGGTGTGGTGTGTACAAAGTACCGGATATTGACTCTGGACTCCAGACCTCGTATGGGTGGAGTGGAATGGCAAGTGGGTAACAAGCAATGTGAGCAGAAATTGCGCGTAGCACCATGAGTGCTCTGCACTACCTAATACGTTGGCGCATATGCGAATGCGGTGCTTTCCCAGAAACTTCAATGCCATCGTAGTCAAGCTATCATTACTACTACTTGTAGGGCACTTAACTTCCACGCTTTTGTATCGCGGGTCGGTTGTAGCATCTCCCCCATTTCCCCCTTCCATTTCTCTTTCACAAACGAGAGACTATTACAAACCAGCCAGACTGAGCCATCAGGGTTCTCGACGCTTGGAGCGTTAATCCGAACCCAGTGGTTCAAATATGATTGGGCTGTTGAGGGAGCTCTGGGCGTTACTCATGAAATGCTCAGTCACTTATTTCTCGAATCCTTCCTCACAACAGCCCAATTTCGAGAAGAGACCACCGTGAGCGCAGCTCCGGAACCACGAGGTCTAGTGACACGCCAATGAATGCACCTTGGGGCGCCATCGACCAAAGAGATTACTGCGACAGAGACGTGATGGAGAGGCGAGCACATTTAGGCCACGTTACAACCCCCTCACCTCAACGGACTTACTCATTTGATCTACCCTAGATCGAAGCATATTGATGATACAACTTAGCAGCCTTTGTCAAAAGCCGAGACCCAAGAGTCGGGCAGGATCAGCGGAACCGACAAGCGGGGCCCCCAACGGACTTGACAATGACTTCCAGCCATTGATGGCCAATGCATAACACAGCCTGACCTGGGGGATGTCGTCTCTTCGGCACTTGGACCAAGTTCTCCACTGTTCTCGAAGTCTCTCCGCCAGATCCCCAGACTCTGTGCGTGTTCGGTTGGCCTTGACGGTACCAAGTCTGTGGATCTGCACGACGAATCCTCAAAAAGTTAAGTATTAAAGGCCGTCCTCCTCGAGCATGGTACTGTCAACCTCCTTCAAAGTCTCTGAGGCTTCGCGGCATCCTATTCTGTGAAGGGATCATCATACCTCCCAGCAAAGATGTTTGGCCTCAATAGGTTTCAACTGTTTTGTCTTGCCTACATCACGTTTGGTTCTGCTTTCTATGGTTACGATTCGGGTGGGTTTGCAGGCTGTGATGTTCGTCGAGACCTGCTTTACTGACGACTTCGTAGGCATTACCACCTCTGTCCTGGGATACTCCAGCTTCCTGACCTATTTTAAGCTCAATGCGAACACTATCGGGGCCTTCAACTCAGCATACTATGCTGCATGTGCTGTTGGGAACTTCTCCAACTGGTACTTGCCTGACAGATTCGGACGGATACGGACGTTACAATTCGCGTGTCTGCTGAACGTCCCTGCTATCATCTTGCAAACCGCTGCGGTGAATTATGGGATGTTTGTGGCCGGGAGAGTCATTGGCGGCCTTGCTTGTGGCATTGTGTTTGCGTTGTGTCCAGGTAGGTGCAGCTTCGCTTCTTCCGTGGCCACCTGGTCTAATCTCAACACCAGTCTATGCCAGCGAGGTTGCTCCACCACATATCCGAGGCAGAATCGGCATGATCTATGCCATGAATGTCTCTCTCGGTTACGCGGTCACGGAATGGCTCGGATTAGGGTTCTATTTCATCAAAGGAAACTCGTCGTGGAGGGTCCTGTTCGGTCTCCAGGCGGTGCCTACCTTCATTTTGGGTGCATTCTCGTTCTGGATGCCACGCTCACCTCGGTGGCTGGTCATGAAAGGCCATTATGACGAGGCTAAATCTGTCCTTAGGCGAATCCATGGCGGCTTGCACCATGACGATACCTTCTATGAACGTGAATTTCACCAAATCAAAGCCCAAATCCAACTTGATCAGGAAGAGAAGCTCGGCATCAAGAACATCTTCACCAAGCCTTCCTATCGCAAGAGAGTTCTTCTTGTCATGAACTTCTTCCTCTTTCAACAACTCACAGGAATAATTCCACTTCAGAACTATCAAGTCTTCATCTATCAGATCTGCGGCTTTGATGCAATCATGTCCCTTGTTCTGGTGGGTATCTGGGGCACCGTCGTCTGCATCGCAGTCGCCTGCATGTCACCTTGGTTCGATCGCATTGGCCGCCGGTCGTCAGTCTTCCTAGCCTACAGCTTCATCATCCCAGGTGCCTTGCTCATCGTCATCATGTGGGCTCGATTCGAAGCTGGCGGCAGTACGGATCTGGGCGTGGCCAAGGGTATTATTTTCGGCATGTTCTTCCTCGTTTGGGGATATGGCGGCATTCTAAACACCTTCGCTCCATGCGTGAGTCCTCTGTCCTTCCCATATTTTAAGGGCTCCTTCCCCCGGTTTGGCTAACAAGAGCACCAGTACTCCTCGGAGATTATGCCTACCTGCATTCGAGCTGCCGGGGTAGCGTGCGGCTACGCAACGTTCAACTGCATCGTCATCCTCCTCGTCCAGGTCACGCCCCTGGCCCTCGAGCACATCTCGTGGAAATACTTCCTCATCTTCGTCATATGCGACTTCATCTTCATTACCGTCTTCTACTTCTTCTACCCGGAGACAAAGAACAAGACAGTAAGTGAGCACCAGATTTCTCGTGTATATCAGGGTGATCGATACTGACGCAAGCAACCCCTCCCCCCGGGTCACAGCTCGAAGAGATCGAAGCCATCTTCGGCGACCGAATTGCCGAGACCTTCGAGGAGGCTGGCCAGCACTACGAGGAAGAGAAAGAAAAGGTCCCCGTTGCGGAGCACAAGGAAGTATGAAAGATCGGAGGGATACCGAGCTAGAGGGAGAGAGAAGGAGAGAGCGCGCGCGCGTAAAAACTCCCCGCCGTTAGATATTCCTAAGCGTCAAGACAATCTGCAAAGAAGGGAGTTGGGAGAGTTGCTTTTGTGTATCTGATTTCACCCCAGCCAATCTTTTCTAACCTATACTGGCAAGAGAGGAGGAGAGAAAGAGTTTTAAAACACCGATCCTGAAAACTCGCTTCCCAATCTCCATCGCGGAGGTTTGCAAATACGATTGAATAAACAACCTATTCCGGCTGTATAACTATGTTCGCGATCTCGCTGGCTAATCCACTTGGTGCTGAGCAATATCTATTACCTTGTCCTTGCGCAAACTACTACCAAACATTTGACTGGGCCATCGCGTCGGTCGGCTCACGAATCTCCGCACAGACCAGGCACCGTACCCGCGCCTACTCCGACCAAGCCATCTATGTACGACAGGAAAGTTTGGACCGGAATCAAGTTCATCAAGCCGAGACTGGGATTCGAGCTCCTCAGCACCTGCCCACCCCAGAGCACGCGCAGATAGTAACATGCTTGCTTGGAGTAGAGTTCAAAAACGACTTCGGAACCCATGCCGGGCCAGACCATGACGTCGACTTGTAAGATGCTGAGCAGGCGGGACAGAGATCCGTCGTGAGCGACGTTGTGGGTGTAGATGACAGGGGACGTGCCGTCGATTGCGTTGCGAAGATTCTGTGCTAGCTCAGCCATGTAGATGCCATAGCTTGCGGTGGACGCCGGTAGTGAGGCGGGACTATCGCGGTAGATGAATGAGTACTCGTATAGGCCTCTCCGGAATACTGCATCGGCGTCCGTCCCGGTAATGCAGTTCGACGAGTTGCCAATCTGACACGGCAGGGGTTTCTGGTGGCACAAGCGAGCCGAGAGGTTGTCGAAGTAGTGGTCGAACCAGTTGTGCCAGTCTGGGTCGCTGCTGTTCACGCCGCTCACAGAATCAAGTTTCGCGAACAGGGATACAGAGTCGTTGAGGTGCATGGTCCAGTTAGCAGCGTCGCTGCCCACACCGTAGGAGGAGTAGAGATCATTAGCCGCGGAACACGTATAGGCCGGCTCAAGGCTGTCGATACTGTCGGGCTGGATGAGCACAGATACCGGACCGTTACGGCGCCCAGCGTACTGGCCCTCCACGACTTGACCTGCGACCTGAGACGTGATAACATTGTTTGTGACGCGGTACTTGACAATCGAAGAGTTGTACGATGAAGGCAGAAAGCCGAGCAAGTCGTGATAAACGCCGAAGAGATCGCGGCCATGTTGCTGGGAGTCGTTGAGGCCTGAGCCAGAGATTTGCGGAAATTGGCATGTTCCATTGAAACCCTCTGGAGCCAGAGGGTTGGACGGAGAAGTGTAGACTTGCCAATGGACTTGAGCTGAAGAGCCATCTGGTCGAGGGGCACCGTAGAAGAACAAAGCCTCGTCGTCGCAATCCCAGGCGTAGGATTCGTGGGGGAAGGTATTGGACGCGTAAGGAGTGCGCTTGTGGTGGCGATGGATCTATGACTTGGTCAGTCCCAAGTTGTTGATTAGGTCAGCCACGGCTCCAAGGCTACCTACAATCTCGACATATTTCAGGGTGTATCCCTGGGCAGCGCGAGGGTATTCTTGTCGTCGCGTATGCGGCATATTGCACCAGTTGTAGGTGCTATACGCGGTCGATGCCGGGGTTATGGACGAGTTGAAGATGAATCCATTGACACCGGTGCCATTAACGACGAAGGCCAAGTTGTTAATATTAGTGGCATTTGGAGGATACCATGCCAAGTCGACCGAGGTCGAGGACAGAGAGGAGCAATTAGACTGATCGACAACCCGATGGGCCACGGAGCCGAAAAGCAGCAGGTCGCGGACTCGCACAATCATGACGTTCTGATAGAGCTGGGAGGTGAGGGTGGTGAAGGAGGTCAAAAGGTCGGTGACGAGTCCTGTAAAGAGAGAAACAGGTGGTTGTGAGGGAGGCATAGTACAGCTGACATGGTCATGGCCTCATGGACTCATGGTGTCCTTTTTGCCATTTGGTGCTGGAGCTTGCATCTGGCACGTTGCTGGGTGGACGCTCTCTCGCCTGCCTGCTTATTGCGGCATCATTGGCAGCGTATGTGAGGATTCCGGGTATAGCATGTCGGTAAAGAGCGAGGTTGCAGCAGCTTTGAAGTGAGAGGCGCGGAGGACGCCCAGGATGCCATGGGAAGAGCAGGAAGAGGTCGATGGCGGTGATTTGATGGTTGATTGGCTTGCAGCGATAAGGCGGGAAACGTGCACCGAGGGCGGGCAGTGACAGGGCGAGCAGTGAGAGACGCCGGTGGCATTCAATATGGATCATTAACTACGTCCTCCGTATATCGAGTACTCAATCAGTAGGTACTAGGCAGTTACTAGCATGAAGTGGAGGAGAAAAGCGGCAGGACTGTGCTGGTCGTGCTACTCCCTTCTGTCCCTTGTCCGAACCTGCTCGCTGCCTATTGATATTGTTGGAGATGGCAATGGGAAACCAAACGCCAAGCTTTCATCTTCCTCGGAAGCCCGCATACATCGACGCTTCTCGCTGCGGGGTAAATAGTTGGTCATACCTTGTCCATACGGCGTGACTACTACCTGCTGCTGCTTCACCTTGCCGATGACACTGACAACTTCCTTTTCAACCCATTGAACTCGACATCTTCATCTCTCAAGCAGTCAACATGGCATACCAAACCAATCTCTTCATCAACAACGAGGTAAGTCGTCTTGGCCCGCATCCGCTTCTGCCGCCAATTCCCATTCACCAATCCCAACCAGTACGTTCCCTCCTCATCGGGAGAGACCCTGTCAATCTACAACCCCAACGATGACACGCTGGTCACCGACAAAGTCCAAGTGGCCTCCGAGGCTGACGTTGACCGTGCTGTCGCCGCCGCCAAAGCCGCCTTTCCAACCTGGTCATCCATCCCTGGTTCAAAGCGAGCCTCCATCATGCTCAAGTTTGCCGACCTCCTGGATGCTAATGCCGACCGCCTCGGAAAATTAGAGACGATATGCATGGGCCAGCCCATCACTCTCGCAAAAGGTTTTGTTCACGGCCCAGCCGCAATCTGGCGCTACTATGCTGGTTTTGCCGGCAAGATCGCTGGGGAAAGCTACCCTCCCGAGGGTGATGGCTCCTACAAGATCGTCGCCTATGAGCCACTTGGAGTCTGTGCTGGGATTGCTGCCTGGAACGGCACCCATGCCCTTGCCGCCTGGAAAATGGCTGCCGCTCTAGCTGCTGGAAATACCTTCGTCTTCAAGCCCTCGGAGAAATCACCACTGGGTGCAGCACTCTATGGAGAACTGATCAAGGAAGCCGGCTTCCCGCCCGGCGTCATCAATATCGTTATCGGTGCCGCACCAGTTGGTGCTATGCTGGCATCCCATATGAATATCGCTAAGATTGCTTTCACTGGCTCTGCCGCCGGTGGACGAGCCGTCCAAATCGCTGCGGCCAAATCCAATATGAAACATGTCTCCCTAGAGCTGGGAGGCAAATCTCCCGCTCTAATCTTCGACGATGCCGATTTGGACAATGCCCTCCTGCACAATTCCGCAGGCTTTCTGCGGAACTCTGGACAGGTTTGCTTTGCATCATCAAGAGTCCTCGTGCAAGAAGGTATTGCGCCTAAGTTTATCGAAGGAATCAAGAAGGCTTTCGAAGATGCGGCCAAGAAAATGGGAGATCCTTCTCTGGCTGAAACGGCATATGGCCCGCTGGCTGACAAGAAACAGTTCGACCGCGTCATGGGATTCCTGAACGATGGCAAAGCCGAGGGTATTGAAATCTTGACCGGAGGAGGGAGGATGGGCGACAAGGGCACATTCGTGCAACCTACTGTGCTTCTTAATCCTGATGTCAGAAGCCGCGTCTTCACCGACGAGATATTTGGACCTGTGATTGCTGTCAAGACGTTTAAGACTGAGGAGGATGCCATCGCCATGGCCAACGATACCACTTACGGTCTTGGGTGTAGGTGAAAACTTCCTAGAAAAGATGAATATGTGCTGACAGCAGCAGCATCTGTTTTCACATCCGATATTGCTCGAGCATTGCGCGTGGCCTCCAAGATCGAGGCTGGAAATGTGGGCATTAACCAAGCATATAAGACAACTCCACAGACGCCCTTTGGTGGCTACAAGCAATCAGGGCAAGGGAGAGAAAGCGGCTATGAAGGTCTGAAAGGATATTTGCAAGCCAAGACCATCGTCATAAACATGGAGTTGCCCAAGAAAGCATGAAAAGTGGCCGAGGGCTCATCAATGACAGTGACGGACTTCCACCATGCTGTCTCTTCGACAACCGAGCAACCCTTGCCCTCAGACATCCTAGGTGTGCAGGAGTAAAATTAGAAATGTCTTAATGCATTGTCAGACACCTTAGGTAGTCATCCTGGAGAGTCGGTGCGTCTCCGTGCTCAAGTTGATGCTTTAATAAATCGATCCAAAAAGAAAAGCTGTCCCTCGAGAGGCAGCGTCGAGCCTTACCACGATCAAAGTACATCTCCGGCAAGTATGCATCCTCTAATAGACGCATGTTATCCGCCCCAAAGTTCTTCGAAAAAAGCCGATATGCCTTCGCCGGGAGCTATGGCAGCATTGATGGAGGCCAAGCAGGTGTGGTGATGATTATCACGTGGGTCGGCATAAGTAGGGCGATGGCAAAGACCGTGCCCGCGTGAGCTGCATAGTCTTTCGGAATAATTCAAACAGCGATTTTGCGGGCTGTGCTTGTGTTTCCAGGGCGTGAAGATAGGCTGACCCGACCCAAAAGGCGACATTGGTAAGAACCCAATTGTCGATGCGCGGGAAATGCAACGCTGGATCCTCATCATTTATTTCTCGAATCGCTTTGGTTGCAAAGAATGACGCATAAAGGAACGCCGCAAGCTGACTGCGATGTCTGCGACGGGGTTGAGTTCGACAATTCAAACATCTGCTCCGGATAATGGGGAACTGCGCCTTAGCGGATGGCATCTTTTAGGTCACGAGCCTCCCCTCAGTAATGCAGTCGGAGGACTAGCAAGACTCAGCGAGTAGCTCAATGTCCCGAGCATTGCACCTGTGAAGTTGAGATGGTGGGTCGAGGTAGAGGGCCAGCTCCGTCTTTGAATGTGATGTCCCGTTCAAATCCTTTGGGCTTGTCGTTGGGATAGGCCCCACAACCAGCTCAGTAGGATCTCATGCCTCATCGCTCTTGACCTTATCAAAGACGGCTGTATCCAGAACAGCCGTTCCCCTGACGCGTGAATCTCAACCGCTGCGCCGTGGACGTTCCTCCGCAGCTGGCGGCAAGGCTAGGAATTCTGATGCCAGAAGAGACCGTTGCCCAGCCCGGCGTAACTCAAAAATGCCTAAACACCGTGCCAGGCCTTGACAAGAAAATGGTCGCCCTAGAAGACCCCACGGCTGAAACCGAGCGCTTGGATTCGTGAACGGCCGAATCAGGAGGGAAGTCGCTCGGATCACCATCCAAAGCATGATATAAAATGCCGGTCCCGGCAGACTTTTGTAGAGGAATCCCAAAGACCCTGTCTCAGGAAAAATGGGAAGCATAACTTCTTTCAGAGTCATCATTGTAGGGGCTGGTCTGGGCGGACTCTCCTGCAGTATCGCATGTCGGCGTCAAGGACTAAACGTCCTTGTCTTGGAAAAGGCACCAGCTATCACCGCCGTAGGTGAAATCAAATATCGGAACGAATCATATTGACTATGTTGAAAGATTGGTGCGGGCATCCAAATTCCGCCAAATGCGGGAAAGATCTTGCAAAGTTACGGTCTCTTACCTTTGTTCGAAAAGCCCGCCGTTTGGCTGGAATGGCATGATATGAGAAGATACCAGGATGGGAAGCTCTTAGCTTCGAGACCTGTAGGCGAAGAATTTATCGAGCGGATTGGTGCGCCATGGATGTGGGTTTTGTCTTGGGCCAGTGATCGAACGAGCTGATTGTGAACAGGGTCATCCACCGGCAGGATTACCATGCCATATTGTTGGACGAGGCAACAAGGTTGGGAGCGGAGATTAGACTCGATGCCAATGTGACAGCCATCGCATTTGACCGTACGGAGGTAATATTGTCTAGCGGAGAGGCTATTGTTGGGGATGTGATCATTGGAGCCGATGGTGAACTATATCCCCCAATGTCTCTGCTCGTGGCTCTGCTTAATGCTTCTAGGGTTATGGTCATCCACGCGAGATGCCATTCTTGGATACCCCTCGCCGCCAATTGAGACCGGCGACCTTGCATATCGGGCAACCTTCTCGCGCCAACAATTACTGGAATTGAATGATCCGCGAGTGGAAGACCTATGCACCAAGAAGAAAGTAACGATTTGGATGGGGCCCGATAGGCATTGTGTTTTCTACCCTGTCCGTGGTGGCGCCGAATTCAACCTCGTTCTGCTTCGACCGGACAATCTTCCAGCGGGTGTCAGGAGCGTCCAAGCAGACCTTGACGAGATGAGGATGACATTCGAAGGGTGGGATGAGATGTAGGCTACGGAATATGGCTGCCGAGTTCACATGCTGACCTTGGTAGCCTGCTGAAACTGATCTCGTGCATTTCTTCGGTGTTGAAATGGAAGCTTTGTCATCATCAAGAGCTCAAGAAATGGACAAGGGTGAGTCCCATTCGACGGTTGGAAACGTCGACTGATAGCATCGGGTGCAGGATCGTATTGCGTTGTTGGGTGATGCCTGTCATCCGACTCTGCCATACCAGGCCCAAGGGGCAGCAATGGCGGTGGAAGATGGCGCTGTGCTTGGACTTCTGCTGGGCCGTTTTGCGCACAAGTCAGCTAGCAATCACGCAGCTGCGGAGTCGAAAGACCGGGTCGCAGCCGTCTTGCAGCTCTATGAGAATCTGCGAAAGTCGAGGACCACCGTCAATGTGCTAGGAGCCGTCACCAACAGGAAGTATTTCCATCTGCACGACGGTCCGGAGCAGGAGGAGCGGGACGCAGCTCTGGCAAATCTCGACTGGTATGGCAGTAGTCAAACGAAGTGGAAATGGTTAGATAGCGGGTATCAGGCAGATCTGCTGGGCTTTGACGCGCTCGAAAATGCAGAAGAAGCATTTAAGGAGTGGTGGGCAGAGCTGGAGACTACGCAGAGGGCAGCATGAAGATGAACGTAGGCTGCAAAGTGACTGCTGTTGTCGGTGTTGCTGTCAGTTGATTGTCAAATTGTTACGGCACATCTTCGGGTACTTTAACCCTCATAACAGCAGCATCTTCGCGACTCGGCGACTACGACAACTTTCTGCTCCCAGAGCGCAAGGCGTGAATTCCTCGAAGTATTAAGGAGCACTATCGACTGGAAAATCCTCCGGGCTAATGCTTGACGACCTCAGACCCAAGCAGCACAAGCTTTGAACTCCAGGGTGCCATCTCCATCTCATCTCAACGTCATCCTCCCGTTTGCGTAGTGGTGACGATCATGATCGATCTGCCGGGAAGCACGCCGTTCGATATAATATATTATCAGCCTCTTTGACTTCGACGACCACGAGGCTGTTGTTGTCTATATTAAAAACCACAGGGGAGTCTGGGGTGACACTTTTGGAGGCTGGTGTCGAGCACACACAACCTTGGCAGAGAATCGTGAACAATCCTCATAATTACCCCTTTTTCTTCGCAGTCTCCATTTCTTGATTCCTCCTTTGATTCCAGATCTCTTTCCCATCCGAAAATGAGTGATCCGCAGATCCCCAAGCTCTGCCATCGCACCACTCCTCACTGGCAACAAGAACAGCGTAACTCCTTCTGGCCCTTGAACGAGGGCCCATTGGCTCCTTTAACACACGGCCGGACAGACTTGAAGCCCACGCTGAAGAGTCGCTCTCCATCAATGGCCGACTTCATGCTCAGAGCAATACTGGCAACGGCTGGACTCACTTGGCGAACCTGCAGGCCTTTTTCCCTCACCGACTCATTCCCCATCAGCTTGTCGATGTCAACGAGCGAGATGCTACCACAACCTTGTTTGGCCACAAGGTCTCTGCCCCAATCGCATTTGCTCCCATTGGAATCAACAAGATCTACCATCCAAGGGGCGAGCTCCCTGTCGCCAAAGTTGCGGGCCAGCTTCGCTCGCCCTATGCACTCAGCACTGCCGGATCGAGCATGATCGAAGACGTCGCTGGCAGGGTGCCAGATGCCCGACGCCGTCAACCTGCAAGGCGCGGATAACGATTCCCCTGTCCGCTTCTTCCAGCTCTATTTGCCTCATGACGACGAACTGGCGGTCTCCCTGCTAAAGAGAGCAGTTACCAATGGCTTTGCAGCATGTATACTCACGACTGATACCTGGCAGCTTGGCTGGCGACTTGTCGATGTCTTAACCTCTAGTTACGCGTTCTACCGCGGGATTGGCGCGGATTTAGGTTTTGCGGACCCGATATTCCAGAGACGCATGGAAAAGACAGGGATCGATCCGAAGAAGCAACCCGAGGACGCAGGTGCAATGTGGATTGATAATGTTTGGCACGGACAGGCGTTTAGCTCTCGGAAGACCCCTTGGTTAATCAAGACGTAGAAGGAGTTGAGTTGTGGGAAGCCGTTTTGTACCAAAGGTTAGTCTGTGCGATTGGTGTTGCTTCAAATTGACCTGTGTTTAAACTGACTTCCTTGCCGTTCACAGAATCCAATCCGTGTGGAGACTTGGATGTGGATGGCATCGTTGTCTCCAACCATGCGGGCCGCCAAGTCGACGGCACAATTGCCAGTCTTGACGCTCTTGAGAACATCGTCAACGCAAGGATCAGCGAGAAACTGACCGTCATGTTTGATTCAGGCGCGAGAGGCGCTTCGGACATTATAAAGGCGTTGTGTTTGGGCGCTAACTTCGTATGGGTTGTTCGGATGTGGATATACGGGTTGAGGTGTGTTATCCATTGTGCAAGATCCCATTGAATTGCAAACCATACTCACTTTTCCGAAGCACAGTATTATGGGCGAAGAGGGCGCCCGCCGTGTCATGAAGTGCCTCGCCGAATTTGACATCTCCATGCTCACGGCTGGAATACGGAATGTTGGCGAGATGCAAAGGCGCCGGCAGGAAAGCTATCCCAAGGGATATACGCTGATTGCAAAGAAGGCCAAGCTTTGAACGCATTGAAAATAGCACTCTCATGAGCGAGACGTGTTGGAGTCAACGAAATAGAGCAGGAGCGCCTGATGCCTTTTCCTAGGTGGTTGATCTAATGTTCTTCAGCTTCTCGCTCCAGCATTGAACTCATTGTCCCCGCTACATCTCTATCCAACTGTACAATTCTAGATGCGCATGGGCACCCGGCTGCTTGCATCGTTGTGTGACGCATTCTTCAAGCCATTGGAACAGCACATTCTACCCTCGACCACCGTGGTCAATACACCAGTCTCCACGCCACCGAGATAATAACTCGGCTTCGCAAACCCGCAGCCCAAGGTTTCTCGTTCCAAGCATATTTCAATGCCATTTCGACCTGCTGGTATTTGTCCTTGAGCCAGGCCACCCCTCGGGAAGGTCTTAGCCAGAGGATAAGCAGTCGGGCCAGCCATTATCAGTTCTTTCTTTCCTTCATTCCAGCATTAAAATTCATATTTTCCTCCATGGAATCGTGTCACATCATCCAAGAACCACGTCCAGAGACAGCCGTGTCCAACTCAACATTTCATGTCCCACTCTGTCCTATACCATCCCTCGTTCACTCAATCTTTCCAATCCCACACCTGCTTCAAGAAGGAACTCATACTGACCTTCTTAGCCTTCATCTCGACCATCCACGGGTGCTCTAGCATTCGCCAGGGCGTGGCTCGCCTTGGGGGTTCCTTCTCCAAGCAACACTCGATGAAGTACTTGAACATGTCACTCCACTTGATGCCGTTCTCGGGCTCATCTTTTAGCTTCGGGATGGGCTGGGCGACAATGTACGTGAGCAGATCAATTAGACCAGCACGTGGCTGCATTTCTGTTCCGTCGGCCGGAAAGGGGAAGCGATGCTGGGCGACTTCAAGTAACGTCACCCCTAAAGACCACACATCAGAGGTGATGGTGTAGGATTGGCCCTGTATTCTTTCGGGAGCCATGTAATAGGAAGTGCCTATGAAGGTGTTGGCGTCGCCTTTTGTGCCAAATTCGCCGGAAACGCCAAAGTCGCAGAGCTTGACTTGGCCGTTGCGGCAGAGGAGGATGTTAGAGGGCTTAATATCTATGTTGCATCACGTCAGTATATCTCGACAGGAAGTCCGAGGGCTGCATTTCTGTGGCTTACCTCTGTGTATGATCTTCCTACTATTGAGATACGTGAGACCATGCAACACGCCTTCTGCGATCTTGCCCAGGACCTTTTCTCCCGTCCTACCGCCCAGTTTTTTGACCTCACGGTATACGCTGTCCAGGCTGCCACCCTCGCAGAACTCCATTGCTATTGATATCGTGCTCGAGGATTTGTCCATGAAAGCGCCGTAGTATTGGCAGATATGCTCTGACGTGCAGTTCTTGTTGAATTTGAGTTCACGAAGGATCTGCTTTTTCACATCCGGGTCGGGGCTGGTGGTGATAATCTGCGTGAAATGATAAAATAAGAAACAAGAGCCTCACCAGATTCAGGTGGATTCAAACGTACCTTGAGAGCAAAAATCGTCTTGCCACCTTCCAACATACACCTTGTCACCGCGCCTCCCGCACCCTCACCCAAGGAACCTAATTCGATGATTTTCTTCTGTTCACTCGCTGCGCCCCACCCTTCGTCGTCCAGATCTTCCACATCGAGTGGCCTACCCTTCTCGATTGCGAGTCTTTCAAAGTCAACTGATAATCCGCCCATACTCGATTCTCTTTCCATCGAAGTCCCGCCGATACTGGCCTCTGAGTAGATCGAACTTATCGCCGAGGATGGGTCAGGTGTCCCAGCTTGCCTGCCTTGCATGGCGAAGGAGAGGGCCGAATATGTGGATGACGATGCAGATCCAGGCACACTGGCGGCATGGAAACTATCCCCCCGGGGTCTGCTGATGACTTCATTTCCTGTCACTGCGGATATGTTCAATGGTTGTATCTGTGGTCTTAGATTGGTTCCTCCTTCTTGCACTGAGCCTAGACTTCCCAATGGTGTTGCAAGAGATAGTTTTGGCGGCCCTTTCGCTCCAGATGCGGCCAGACTGAAGCGAGGGACTTCAGCAGGGGGTTCACCTTCTCCAGTGACTGGTCGTTGGTTGGGTGAAGGGGGGATTCCTAACGTCAAACGAGGTGTCCGGCTACCGCTTGAGCTTCGAGCACCAGGGACAGGTGGCCGAAGAAGCGGCACCGGGGAAGACATTGCTAAGTATAGGGCCGCTCAGGGTCGGTTGAATTGACGTATAGAAAGTAGCAGGACTTTCGGGGAGTGCACGGCTTTCTCTCTCTCTCATTTTTTTTTTTTTTTTTTTTTAGGAGACTCGACGCAGTTCGAGTTCGGGCGAGAGAGGGGTTGTCGAAAGTATCGTGACGGAATCCTGCGGCGGATGGGAGGCAAATTGACCCTGTTCTTTTGATCGTTACACCAAGGTGTAGTCGAGGTTCAGATGCAGACGCAGCCGCAGGGTTCAGGATGTGCCTTGCAAACCGAGTGCCTTTGTAATGGTCACGCAGGAGGGGAGGTAATATAGTAGCCCAAGTTGTCTGGTTCGGTCACCGCAGGGCAAGGCAAGGCTGGGCTGCAGGCGGCTTGTTACACTGTAGGGAAGTAGATGTTGATTATTGTTACAGGGAGAGAAACCACGCGCGGATGTTTGAGAAAGTAAGTACCCAGTAGGGAATAATTGATTCGCATTCGGTATTGCTGACTGACACGCCAGCCAGAGCCAAAGCGAGAACCAGAGCCAGACCCTTGAGGCCACGAGGACAGCAGAGTCGACGTCAAGCGTGGTGTGTGCCGGGCGAGGGTTAGTCGGCTGGTAATAGGCCAAGTCGCCCCGTTTGGCGATGGTGGGTTGTTGATCTGCAACAGGCGGCTACCTGAAACGCCAAAGAAGGACCTGTCTAATGTCGCCGTGTCCAAGGGGGATTTTCTGCAAACTCACAATACTGGAGTCAGTCAGTCCATGTGAAGCGAACCTTTGACTGAGACGGCTCCGCGGACCAGTCTGCTGTCTACTTCAACTACCTCGTACACAAGACAGAGTGGTGATCCATGCATCGCAACACCACCATCTTCCTTTTCAGCTGTCCCCTTTAGGCATGTAATTGGCATCCATCTGACAGCCTGCAGCTTGGGGCTACAAGGCCTGGAATTAAGTCCCTCCTGTCCCTTGATTCTCCTCTGTCCCTGTTGTCTCCATGCTGTAGGGGCCAGACCCCATTACCCCGACCTCTTGTTACTGGATTGGCCACCGAAGGCATTTAAACACCAGTGGTTGCTGAAGCGCCTGGGGCAAAAGGATGCAGCATTGGTGGCGCCGCAGCATTCGGGCATCAGCAGGAACTTTGACAGAACCTCATTTGAGCCCCGATTAGCCTATGATCAGAGGAGCTGCTCTTGATTTCACATACCGCCCCTCGGAAGCTGACTTGGCCCATCCCAATCCATCCCCGCCTGTCAGAGACCGTCAACATGCGGTGACCAATCTACAAGTCACTCGCCTAGAGCAAATCACCACTGCAGTCGGGTGGATTTCGGATTGAGCCCTTCTACAAAGTGCGAACTGAAAGTCCCAGGTTAAGCGAGTTTGCACGAAAGGTTTGGTTGGATTCGTTCGAGCTAGGGAAGAGGAGCCCCGTTCGTCCTCTGATCTGATACGCTCATTCTTTTCAACCGGTATGAGTTGTTAGATGCTCAACAAACATCCCTCTCTTGCACCAGACAGGCGATACCTAGGTAGTGTTTGGTTATACCCTCTAGATAAGCCACGGACAACCCGCTTCAAGGGCGTCTCCTCCGCCGCTATCTTCCGACCTAGTTGTCTATCTTTCCTTCGCTTCGGAGAACCCAGCCTTGGACGGTATGCTGTGATGTTGAGGCTCAAAATGGGAAAAGTAGTGGGGGAGTGCATGAGTTCGCGGTTGAGTCTGAAGTCGATGTGCAATGGTGTTTGGTAGTTGACGGAACATTAAACAAGGATCGGTGGGGGGAGCTCGTCACGTACAAGCTCGAGGTCAGGTCATCATTCGTCAAAGTCTCGCACCCCAGGCGAGAGGTAAGGTATCATAGCTTCGTCAATGTCGCTTTGCGCAAGACACCATCTATCCGACGCCAAAGAAGGAAAAAACAATGCCGTATGCTTTTTAGTCGAACTGTCATTTCGTCGAGTCTGGAGGCGGGACATATTTGGACGGGGGATTTCAAGGAGCGTGTCGAAGAGTAGTCGTTTCAGACAAAGGCGCTGGGCTGTGGGAGCATCAGCGCCTCATTCAGAAGAGACCTGCTGTCTGCGTCCTTTCTCTGCCTCGAGGTTTTCGTAGAGGAGATATAAGGCTCGTTCATTGGCACTGGCGCTTCCCATGATGGTGAACATTCTCTCGCCGGTGTCGTCGTGTGGTGCTTTGGCGATGGAAATGCGGGCTCCAGAACTCTTGCGGATCTCACTGATCTTTGCTCCTCCTCTTCCAATGATGCAGCCGACCATATCGGCGGGAATGCTGATATTCTGGGTCTGGACTTCCTCTCCGTCCTCGGTGACCATGGGAATACCACCTCCTCGTGGCGCATCGGCGCTGCGGTTGTACGTACGTGTTTCACTAAAATCAGCGCCGTTACCGGTTCGATTGTAGGACCGACCACTGCCACCAAAGTTGCCACCTGACATTCCACCACTGCCAACCGCAGGAGGAAGAGGGCCGGAACCAACTTGGACTCGAACGGCCGGGTTGTAGAGGACAGTCCCGGTGCCACGCTGCCAGTCATCGACCAAGCATTTCCCAATCTCCCAAACAGCTTTGTCGATACCCTCGGGCGTGCCTTGGACCTCGACGATACGCTCAGTGGATTGTGGCAACATCTCTTTCTGGGCAACCATCCGGACTCCCGATACGTCCTGGATATGCTTGATCTTCAACCCTTGCCGGCCGATGATGGTACCCATCTGATTATGAGAGATGAGGAGACGAATGGCTGGGCGGGACAACATTAGCGAAACTCGAGGATTGACAAGTTGGGGAAATGCTTACGATGTGTGCCGTTATTCTGGATAACGCCACCCATGCCCATCTGCGGTGCGCCTTCAAGAAGACCCTTGGCCACGAGTGAATATGCCTTTGCGATGCCAGAAAGAGGGCCAGTGACTGTCAATACGCGATCATGAACACCTTGAACAACTTTGCTGACGCCGGCTTTGACGCCGGTTTCTTCTCGTAGATCAGCAACATTCTTTCCGGCTTTGCCAATGATGACACCAGCTTCCTTGGTCGACACAATAGCACGCAGGGTCAACTGTGATTGCGCGTATTCTTCTTCGGTCTTTGGAGTGTCGTTCTGGGAATCTCCGACATTAAGCTGGTTCAAGGACTCGGCGAGGCCAGCTTCGTCAACGTGGTTTGCAGATGCTGCGGATTCGGTGGATGCCATCGTGACGTTTATCAGTGGACGTGTCGGAGTGGATGATGACAGCAAAATCAGTTGAGGCAACGCCGGACGTGTGGGGAGGGTGCGGGTCGACAAGGTATGGGCAGAGAAATCCAACTGAGTAGGTGGGAGGTGAGCCTGCGGAGTCGAAAGATGTGATACAGGTTTAGGATGGAGGGAGAATGGAGGAGAAGAGGAAAGGATGGAGAGGATGAGGTTGAGAAGAGGGCAAGGATGAGGTGCGAGGTGTGAGGCGAAAGGTGATTCGGTATGTGGTGGTGGGTGGTGAGGATGCAGCAAGGTTTTTGAGAAACAAACGAAATAATAGAAAAACTGGAGGCGACAAGCAACACAAGTCTTCAGCGGCAAACGGCGAACGAGCAGCTGCAGTGAAGAGCAGTAAAGAGAGGGGTCCTTCTCATAGGCTCACCAAGCTAGCCAGCCACTGGCACAGCAACAGCAAACAAGCAGCAGCAGTAGCTGCTCTGGCCTTCAGTCCTTCGGCTTGGGCCTGCCCAATTCCCACTGGCCAGCGAGCCGGATGCTTCCCTTTTGGAGGGTGTAAGGCATTGCTCCTGTGTATCCGGTACCCAGTCCTCTATTCATTCCTTGTTCCCCTCCTTCTGATCTAGCCACTGCGAACCAACTCGTTCATAATCATCAGACACAGCATCGTCTCGCTCTTTCATCCAGTCTTCAGACCACAGGCCAAGTTTCATTTACTTGCCTCTCGCACTAGATCAAGCCGGCATCGGCCCCTACTTCGTGCAGAGCGCCTGACCTAGACTGCGCCAGCCTCCTTGACCTCCTCGGCCTTGTACGCTGTGGCTTGGGTACGCGAGCTTCTTGTCGGCGTCATAAAAAACGAGGTAGGTCAAGGCTATAGCCGGTGGGGGAAAACGCCTCCGACCCACCAGGCTGCATGTAGCCACAATGTCAATACGTTGTACCTGCTGCACCTGAATCTGTTTGAGGTTGGGAACATGGGGAATCCTGGAAGGTTCGAACATTGAGATCCTGTCTACGTTAGCAAGGGCTATAAGATATCCGTCGGAAATGCTTTGTCTTGCAAACTCTCTACATATCTCGTGAGAGACTGGGATTTCTGACCGCTCATTTGTCTGCTTCGAAAACAACCTTCTGAACTCTCATGTTGTTGAATTCATTGTACCACTTGACTGCCTCCGAAAGAGGCTTGATATTGTCAGTCATGAAGTCCAACTTGTCTTGTTTCCTTGCAAGCATGTCCAAGGCTTCTTCGAAGAGGCTCCGAACTGGACACCTGCCCATCTGGATCCTCAAATTTTTCCCATATGCTTGATTACCTGTCCAGGGGATTTCTCCGTTGTGTACGCCGATACTGGAAATATTGCCCCATGGCCTCAGCAGTTCAAAAGCCATGCCCAACGCGCTGCTTTGACCTACTAGCTCGATTGCCGTATCTGCTCCTCTTCCGTGGGAGAGTTCCAGCACTCGCTTTTTCAGGCCTTCCATATCCTTTTGGTAATTCCAGGGTTCGGCACCAAGCTTTCTCGCCCGCTCCAAACGAGCCTCGACGCCATCAACGGCCAGGACAGCCTTGGGCTTGTACTCAAGAGCGCAGATCAACGCACAGAGTCCAACCGGTCCGCACCCGATCAAAAGGACGACACTCTGCGATATCACATCCTGATCCGCCCCTCGGAACGCATTGGCGGCAGCAAAATATCCTGTCGGGAAGATGTCGGCCATCAGCACGAGCTTGTTCTCCTGAATACTCGCCGGGGCCTTAATGACTGTGC